AATAAAGGCAAACTTATATCAATTCTATCCAAATGCATATTTTCCATATATGTTTCAATGATTTTTAATGCCTTTCTTGCTTCAGGCGTTAACATTCGGGGTGAATTTGGATCTGATGGACCTTTTAGGATATCAAATAAAGGTCCCAACTCTCCTGTTGGTATACCTAGATAAGGCCTTATCCAATTTATGTCTCCTAATAACTTTTGAAAGTCATTAAGTGATTTGAGTTGATCTACTCGTATTTGAATTTTTGGTGGACGGACCATGGTTGAGGATAAAGAACTCCTAAATAATTAATTGGAAAATTTAATTGTACTTTATCTATTGCTATCTCTAGATTATTATTTTTTAATAAGTTTGTAAGTGTGGCATAACATTCTAGCAATGTGTTTTTATCTTTGTGTGCTAACAATACATCATCCATATAGTGAAATATTTGTAGTTCAGGATTTTGATTTCTAAGTGGCTGGATTACTTTGTTAATATAAATTTGACACATAGTTGGGCTGTTAGCCCTCCCTTGAGGGAGTACTTTCCATTCATATCTCTGATCAGGACCTTCATGATTCAGTGCAGCGATAGTAAATGCAAAATGTGGACTATCCTCAGGATGAATTGGAATTGAAAAAAAAAATCTTTAATATCTATAACTAAAACATACCAGGTTTTTGGCAAAGCAGACAATTGAGGAATCCCCGATTGAGCAGGTCCCATAATAACCATTTCATTATTAATGGCTCTTAAATCTTGCAGTAATCTCCATTTACCAGATTTCTTTTTGATGTCAAAAATGGGAGTATTATGGGGAGATACAGAAGGTTGTATATGTCCTTCCGCTAATTGTTGTTTGACCAGGTCATGTGCTGCTTGTATCTTTTCTTTAGTCAGGGACCACTGAGGAACCCATACTGGTCTTTCTGATTTCCAAATAATTTTGATTGTCTCAGTGGCCCCTTCTGAAAATCTAACCCGTGTCTGTCTGTTCCTTGATCTATTTGTATTGGTGCTGCTATACCTTGTTCTTGTTTTTCTAATCTTTTTTCCTTTCCTAAAACCTTGTCTAGTCATAATAGTGGGTGCATTAGCATTGATGTTATTTGTTAATGTCAAACCTAATTGATCTAGGTCATCTCGTCCCCATAAATTTACAGGAAGATGATCCAATACATATGGCTATATAGTTCCTTCACATCCTTCAGGATCCTTCCAATCTAATACCATTGCACTTCTATGGGGATTAGTCGCCACTCCTAGGCCTCAAAGTGTTTGAGTGGCTTGTTGTAATGGCCAATGTTTTGGCCATTCTTGACGAGAGATGATGCTAAGGTCTGCACCTGTATCCAGTAGCCCATTAAATTCATGTCCTTGAATATTTAGTTTTAGCATGGGGCGAGAATCTAAATTTAAAGAAAGCATAGCCCAATCTACACCTGTGGAGCCTAATCCCTTGGAACCTCTTTCTACAGCACGAATGGAAAATTTATCATGTAGGTTTGGTATTATTAGTAACTGTGCTATTCTATCTCCTGGTGAAATTACTGATACACCCTTTGGAGAACTGGCTATAATTTTTATTTCACCTTCATAATCGGGATCAATTACCCCAGGACTTATCATAAGTCCTTTTAGAGTAGAAGAGCTGTGTTCCAATAATAAGCCTACTGTTCCTTTGGGAAGAGGTCCTTTTACCCCTGTGGGAATTATTTGAACTCCCATCTCTGGAGTTAGTACTGATCTGGTGGAGGCGCAGATGTCCAACCCTGTGCTCCCTCTGGTTTGTCTGATGAGGGATCTGATGGACAATGTGTCCTGGGCACTACCCTGATGGGGTTGCTGGGTTCCTCCAATGCTCCGTATATTTGTGGTTTTGGGCCCTGGAGCATTGGGCCCCACTGTCCATTTTTGGCAATGGAGTCCGATGCCTTTCTCCATGATATCATGGATAAACACCTGGTCCTTATTCGTTTTTTGATAATGGAGTACCCTCTATGGTGGTTTGAGAATGGCATTCCTTAACCCAATGTCTCCCTCTACGGCATTGTGGGCAAATACCCAGTATTCTACTCCTTTGATACCTAGTTTTGTTAAACCCTCCTCCTATGGGACAATTCCTTTTAAAATGTCCTGTTTGTTCACAATTGTAGCATGTTCTTGGCCTGGCATCTAAAGCCTGTTTTACTGCAGCTGCCACAATTTGCCCTTGTTCATTAATGTCTCTGGCATCTAAAGCCTGTTTTACTGTAGCTGCCACGACTTGCTCTTGTTCATTAATATCTCTACATAATTTAATATATGTGTTTAAATCTTCATGTTTCCATGGTCTAATGATATCTCTGCACCAACGATTCGCTTGGTCATAATCCAGTTGTTTTATTAATGGCATTGCTTGTTCTGTATTCCCCAAAACTCTGGTAGCTGTTTGAATAAGCCTATCTACAAATTCAGCATAAGGTTCATTAGCTCCTTGTATTACCTTAGATAATTGACCTTGTAAACCTCCATGTCCTTGTAAAGTCTTCCATGCCTTAATTGCATCTGCAGCAATTTGTGCGTATACGCCAGGATCATATGCAATTTGTTGCTGCTGATCCTCATAAGGTCCCTTTCCTAACAACATATCTAGATTTCTCTGAGGATAACCAGCTGCTGCATTTCGCCTAGCCGTCTCCTTGCAAAATTCCTCATTGGCAACCTTCCATAACAGGTATTGTCCTCCATTTAGCACAGCTTTACACATATTAGCCCAATCTGCTGGCGTCATGTTCAAGTTGTTAATGGATTCGACCATGCTTACAGTGAAGGGTGCTTGAGGACCATAGGTTGTTACAGCCTCTTTTAGCTGCTTCACTGTTTTGAAATTTAAAACTTGGTAAAATCACTGCCCTCCTGCCTCAAATACAGGGCATGTTAATATTTGAGATCTTGTCTGAGGATCCCAACTATCAACTGCGGGGGTTGGGGGCCTCCCAGCATATGGAGGTGGCGCTGTTGGTTGGACACTTACGCCCTCTGGTGATAGAAAGGTGTTAGTAGCAGTCTCCTGTTGTAACTTTCCCCCTGATGGCTTTTTCTGTTTTACACTTTCTTTCTCTGTCTGACTAGCTTGAGAGGCCTTCTCTTTTACTTGAATTTTTTCCTCTGACTAGTTCGAGAGACCTTCTCTTTTAATTGAATTTTTTCCTCTGACTAGTTCGAGAGACCTTCTCTTTTAATTGAATTTTTTCCTCTGTCTGACTAGCTCGAGAGACCTTCTTTTTTACTTGAATTTTTTTCTCTGACTAGCTCAAGAGACCTTCTCTTTTACTTGAATATTTCTACTATAACTATAATACAACCCAAGATGATAACGCCAAACAAAACTGAGCCAGAATGAAACAAAAGTGGAACAATAGAAAATCATTATAATAGCTTTTCTATCCTCCTGAAATGTCCATCCGTCCTTTCTCCCTATCTGTTCCTCAGATGTGAGTGGTTTTTCTTCCATCTTACACATCTCCAGGGACAGGCAACTTAAAACAAAAGTGAAGCAAAAGAAAAGAGGAATCTTAAAATGGCTACCCATCCTCTTGCCCTGCCCTCAGGGGCGAGCAGTTTACCTTATCACTTACCCTCAGTCGCTCCCCATACAGGCCACCAAATGCCGCAGTCTGGCTGGGCACAATTCAGGAGCCACTTGTCAAAAGAAACGAACTTTATTTTTAGAACCACTCACACCAAACAAAACCGCTCCTCAGGAAAAACCCTCAGAGCCCAACTGCCACCACCGGCTTCCCACAAGCCTCTCTCTCAACCACAAGCCTTTCCACCTCCCACAATCCTCCTGCTCTTGAGGCCGATTGGCTGGGTCGCGTGGGCAGAGCCAAAAAAGTCCCCCAATGAGCAGCTCCGTGGTCTGAACGGGCAGGGAAACAGCCCAATGAGCATCACTGCAGAGGAGCCAATCAGCTAGATGTTGCTGGGGCCACTGTGAGCCAATCATCAGCTGGCAGTCTGAAAGGGCGGGGAAACAGCCCAATGAGCATCACCGCAGAGGAGCCAATCAGCTAGATGTTGCTGGGTTGCTGTGAGCCAATCATCAGCTGGCAGTCTGAAAGTTTGCTGGGGCCCCTTTGGCTGTGGCTCTCAACAGCAACTGCCAGCAGCCATCAAACAGCTACAGTGGAGGCGTGCTGGGCAGAAATCCAGAAGGAACATCTGGACACAGGAGTGAATCATCCTAGGGGCTTGAGCCTATAGTTCAATCAGGCTCTGTAAAGACCTTCAGTTTTCTTTTCTTGATCTATTTCTCAGTGTCATTCCCCTGAAATTTGCTTCTCAGATCTGAAGGGCATAATAGGCCAGGTTTACCAGGACCATTCAGACCTCAGAACAGCTGGAAGGGGCTGGATGGCCTTACTGCAGGCCTCAAATCCCCAAGCTGGCATGTGTTTAATCAATGATGAAGACTGATAGGCTGCAACTTTGCTCTGCCCTCACTGACCACTAGAGCAGCATCTGTGACCCTCAAACTACAAGTGTCCTGCTCTCTGAGGGTGAAAAGTCTTATGAGAGCTCCTCCCCTTCAACATGCCTTCTGCAAACCTGCTCAGAGTTTACTAAGGATCAATCACAGGCCTAAACTATTCCCCTACATCCCTGGACTTCCATTGAATGGAGTGGTAAGCTAAGTTCCTTACCAGTATTTTGCCCACACCAAAGGAGACTCCTGCTTTGGGCAGAACTTAAGGGTCACAAAAGATCAATATGTGGCAAGTACAGAATGTTGGGCTACAGGCTGCTTGATGAGGATTCCAGTCCCAACTCTGCTATCAAACTACTTATAGAAACTTAGTCAAGTCACTTAACTTTCCAGAGTGACCTGAGGCGGATGAAAAGAGAAAAAAAAAAAAAAAATTAGTTAAAAAAATCCTGGAAGCCCTGAAGCAGGCGAGGCCCAGGGGAAAAAAAAAAACAAAAACAACTCTAGGCTTGGAGGCTGAAAAGTCTTAAGTCAAAAGTTTCAGGAAAATTTAATGATTATTTATTTTATATTTAAATTCATAAGTCACACACACTTTATGACTCTGGTAGAAACTCTGAAAGAAAAGATCAAAAGCAAAAAAGGGGTACCCCCATAGGAGAATCTGTTTATGAACCCATCTTTGCTTTCCAATCCTAAATAGGAACACCTGACCCAGCACCCTCTGGGAAAATCAATCTTTGATTCGGAATTGTTGCTCAATAATGATTATTTCGGTCACAGCCACACACCATCAGCCCACCAGGAAGTCTGAGGGGAGGCAAACAGCCAGGAGGACAGAGCCTTCTTCTCTCACCAGGAAGCAATTCCAGCTCCAAGCAAGAGATGCATGACAAGGTGCCACAGGGAGAAAGATAATTTAGCCATTATGTTTTTAGAGTTAAGAAACACCCTCGGTTCAATCGTGGAAGCCCTTAAGTGTCACTGGTGCCTGGAACCAAATGTAATCCTCTGAATCCAGGGCTGGAATAGAAGGTCTGCCACAGGACAGGGTCACAGTGAGTTTGTGGCCGCGACTAGGCACTCGGTAATTGAGCTTGGGTCGAAACCAATCTTCTCCGCAGTCACGGTGCCCCTGTGCCATAACAATGGTGCCCATGAGTGGAGGAGCCTGTAGCTCACTAAAGGCATCAGCCATGAAAATGGCCCGGAAGAGACGGCGCAAACAAGCAGCTGTGCTCAGGTTCTGGTCCATGCTGAAGGGGACCAGCCTGGACAGGTCAAGTTCATAGAACTCCTTGGGGCTTAGGGCACTGCCCCCGAGGAGGATCAGCACCCGTGGTACTAGTGTCCGGGCAAAGAGTTCTTCTAAATGGCTGAGGACACTCTCCAGTTCCGCCAGTGCTTGTTGGCATTTCCTGTTGCTTGCCTCAGTGGTGACTCGAGGTTTCTTCCTCACTGCATTCTCTGCCTGTGAGGAGAAAGAATGGTGAGAGAAGAGGACTTGATAAGGGGAAGCTAATGCCCTCTGAAGAACACGGCTGGGTTTTGTAGACAGCCTTCAGGACTGGATTTCTAGCTCAATTAACTGCCATAACTATACAGTGGGTTTTATCAGAGGGCATTAGGTTGAAAAAGAAAATATAATCTTTGTACAAAGCCATAATTTATATGCACTCAGAACAACAAAGACAATATCCTGAAGCTGAAGGGAATTGAAAATAAGGAACTAAAACAGTCAAGGACACTCCATGGCATAGTTGGAAGTAGCAAATTTCTGTTTTACGGGGAGTTTTTAGGAATGAATATTATTTGGACTAATAAATTCTGGAGTAGGTCTTCTAAATACAAGATTATTAATATACACCTCCACCTAAAATACTGAAAGAAATTAGGACAAATCTCTTTTTTTTATTTTTTTTAATTTTTATACCTTTATTTTATTTACTTATTTTTATGTGGTGCTGAGGATTGAACCCAGGGCCTGGTATGTGCTAGGTGAGCACTATACCACTGAGCCAAAACCTCAGCCCCAGGACAAATTTCTTTTTTTTTTTTTTTAAAGAGTGAGAGAAAGAGAATCTTTTTTTAATATTTATTTTATTTTTCCGGCAGACACAACATCTTTGTTAGTATGTGGTGCTGAGGGTCGAACCCGGGCCGCACGCATGCCAGGCGAGCGCGCTACCACTTGAGCCACATCCCCAGCCCCCCAGGACAAATTTCTAAGAAAATTTTTAAGGAAATACTTTATTCTCTTTTCAAAGGAAAGAGAGCAAAAGACAACCCCCGCCGCCCCCCGAGAGAATAGGCAACATTGGCCAAGGCAACAACAAAGTTTTGAAAGGTAGACAGAAGGTAGGTAGAAAAGGGTGAGTTGTAGAGTACTTGCCTAGCATGTGCAAGGCCCTGAGTTTGATTCCTAGCACTGCTAAAAATAAAAAAGGGTAAGAGAAAAAGAAAGATGGAGCTTGGGTTGTGGCTCAGTGATAGAGCACTTGCCTAGCAGGTGTGAGGCACTGGATTCAATTCTCAGCACCACATATAAATAAATAAATGAATGAAATAAAAGTCCACCAATAACTAAAAAAAAAAAAAAAGAAGAAGGTAAATAGAAGAGTTGAGAGTTCAAGTGGGGGCTGAGGCTGTAGCTTTGCAGTAGAGTACTCCCCTAGCACGTGTGAAGCGCTGGGTTAGATCCTCAGCAGCACATAAAAATGAAATAAAGGTACTGTGTCCAACTACAACTAAAACAAAATATTTTTTTTTTTTTAAAAGAACTCCTTGGGGCTTAGGGCACTGCCCCTGAGGAGGACCAGCACTCATGGTACTAGTGTCCAGGCAAAGAGGTCTTCTAAATGGCTTCTAAAAGACAAACTCAGTGGGTTGTAGCTCAGTGCTAGAGCGCTTGTTAGCATGCGTGAGACACTGGGTTCAATCCTCAGCACCACATTAAAAAATAAATAAATAAAGGTATAACAAAAAAAAATTTAAAGGGGGGACAGATTTCAAGAGAGCAAAATGCCAAGTACTGACAAAGCAGTTGCCCACAAAAAGCAAATTCACACTGCAAAACCCCAGACAGAAAGATTCAAGAACTGGTAATATTCTTAGGAGAAGGCAAGAGTGAGCATAGGGAGACCGAATAAAACTATGTGAGGAGGCTTATACGGTCTGCAATTTCCTCCTCCATCCAATACTATCTTCAGGAAGTTCCCCAAAGAGACCACCAGGTTCCTACTCAATCTCTTTCAAGGAAAGTCATTAGTACAAAAGGCCCAGGCACATGCACAGAGCTTGCTATAACTCGTTCTGAAATATTCACCAGACTCAGAATAAAAACTTTCAACATGAAAGATACCAAAAAAAAAAAACCAAAAAAAAACAAATGGGCAAAGAATTCTGAAAGAAACAGAAACACTGCAATGAACAGAGAAAAATGTCAAGCACACATTAAAAATCTTCAGGTAGGGGCTGGGGATGTGGCTCAAGCGGTAGCGCGCTCGCCTGGCATGCGTGCAGCCCGGGTTCGATCCTCAGCACCACATACAAACAAAGATGTTGTGTCCGCCGAAAACTAAAATAAATAAATAAATAAATATAAAAAAAAAAAAAAAAAAAAAAAAAATCTTCAGGTAACAGAAATTCAAACAGTCATGAAACAACAATATGTTATTTTAAAAGAAGATGGAAAAAATGAAGAAGGTGCTCTTAAGAATATTATCACCAGCTGGGGGGAGTTGCACACACCCATAATGGGGAGGGTGGCTAAGGCAGAGTATCACAAATTTGAGGCCAGTCTTAGCATCTTATTAAGAACCTGTTTCAAAATAAAAAAACTAAGGTGCTGGGGTTGTGGCTCAGTGGTAGAGCACTTGCCTAGCATATGTAAGGCACCGGATTTGATCCTTAGCACCACATATAAATAAATAAAATGAAGGCCCATCAACAATTTAAAATATTCATATTAAAAATAAAAATAAAATAAAAAGGTCTGGGGATATAGCTCAGTGATGGGGAGTTCAATCCCCAGTACCCAAAAAAAAAAGAGGAAAGAATACTAGAAGTGTTAATCAAGAAGTCCCCTCGTGAGGCTGGAGTCGTGGCTCAGTAGTACAGCACTTCCCTAGCATGTGTGAGGTACTGGGTTCGATTAACAGCACCACATATAAACAGATAAATAAAATCAATTATACTTATTTTTTTTAAAAAAAGAGAAGTAAGGCCAGGCGACATGGCACATGCCTATAATCCCAGAGGCTCAGGAGGCTGAGGCAGGAAGATCATGAATTCAAAGCCAGCCTCAGTAAAAGCAAGGTCCTAAGCAACTCAGTGAGATCCTATCTCTAAATAAAATACAAAATATGGCTGGGGATATGGCTCAGTGGCCGAGTGCTCCTGAGTTCAATCCCAGTACCAAAAAAAGAAGTCCCCTAGTAAGTAGATTTAAAAAAAAAAAAAAAGATGAAAATTTGAAAAGAAGTTAGAATTTAAAGAGCCAGTTTGAGGGCTGGAGGGCTCAGTGGTAGAGCACATGCAGAGAATGCACAAGACCTTGGGTTTGATCCCCAGTACCACATATACACATTTAAAAGCCAGTTTATGCCAGATATGGTGGCATGTGCCTGAGAGTCTAGTGACTCTGGAGGCTGAGGCAGGAAGATCCCAAGTTCAAGGCCAACCTCAGCAACTTAATGAGGCCATGTCTCAAATAAAAAAAAAGGGGGGGGGGCTCAGTGGTAAAGCCACTGAGTTCAATCCCCAGTACCAAAAAAAAAAGCTAGTTCATGAAGTTCAAATGCAACAACACATAATAAGAGTTTCTTTCTTTCTTTCTTTTGTTTTTAATATTTTATTTACATTTTAGTTTTCGGCAGACACAACATCTTTGTATGTGGTCCTGAGGATCGAACCCTGCCCCACCCATGCCAGAAGAATGCGCTACCGCTTGAGGCACATCCCCAGCCCCCATAATAATAGTTTCCAAATAGAACAAGATAAAAAGTAAGAAGGGTCAGACAACCAAAGACTGGAGTAGAAGGAAAGTGACTAAAGCCCTTAGAACTGCTTAGGGTAATAGGAGCCTTGGAAATAAAACTGTTTGATTTTCTTTTCTTCTTCTTCTTCTTTTTTTTTTTTTTTTTGGGCAGTACCAGGAGCACTCTATCACTGAGTTATATCCTCAGCCCTTTTTAAAATTTTATTTGAGACAGAGTCTAAGTTGCAGAGGCTGGAACTCAGCCTCCAGAATTACTGGGATTTGGGAGAGGGGCTGGGAGCACCAAGTTCTGCCCTGAAGGTTTCATTTTTTCTACCAGTTTTCCCAATAATTTTGACTCAAAGCCTGTGCATACCTGGGGAGAAGGTTTTCGGTAGAAGTGTTTAAGCTGTTCATAGGGCAGAGGGAGTTGCTGGCGTTGGTACATGATATGCTTTAAAAGTTCACAAGTAAACCGACAGCACCCTTCCTGGCTTACAGGCCCAGGAAACACCACTGGTACCAAGCAGTCTCTGGAGCAAAAGGCCTCCGAAGGGTTGGAAGGTTCCTGGGCAGAGGTGGTCTCAAGTAGATCTATCTGAGTGGCGTTGGTTTCTTCCGACTTCTCATACCACTCCAAATCTACTGAGGGAAAAGGATAAAAAGTGAGAAAAAAATTAAAAATTTAAGAGGTCAAAGTAGTCTTCTCATTCCTGATGGTCACCATATCAGCCATTGTGAAGGGGGGACCCGAAGGCACCGATATAATCTTGGCAACCTCCCTACATGGGAAGATTCCTGATCCCTGTCAAATGTGACTTAAAAGATGGCAGCAGAGTACAGGGGGTTTCGGAGGCAATGACTAACGCTCCGCTAACAAAGCAGCGGACCCCGACCTGGGAAAATGAGTCCAAAGTGTAGTTAAGCGGGGTGCAGAACCCTGAAAGTAAGACAGAAGGCGAATCAACTCGATGCAGCGTAGGGAGTCCAGCCTGATTGGGGCGGAGCACCCGCACAGGGTAGACGGGCAGGAGAAAGGGCCAAGGAAGGGACTGACAGGAGGCAGAAGGCAAGAAACACATCCTCAAGGTTCCCCAAGCTCTGGACCCCAGGCCTTACCAGGGACTGCAGCAGGAGATAGCACTTTCGGCTCTGCCGCCGCCATCACCACCTACTCCCTCTTCTCCCTGCGGTTAGAATGGGCGCCCTGCGGAGCATGATGGGAAGTTCGGACTCCACATCCAGTTCGGCTGGGTCGGAAGCAAGCAAAGCGCCGCCGCCGTCAGTTAAAGGCCGGGCGGAGTTCAGAGTTGAGTTCTGCCCTCAGCTCCTGCAAACCCTGCTACAGATACGCCTTGCCCTTCCCCCGCAGGAAACCAGGCCCTCTCGGCAACTGGGCTCTGCCTTCCAAAGGATACGGCACTCACGCATCCATTCCCTCCTGTGTTCACTATTCACTGTCCATCTGCTTTGTGGCAGGGCTCAGGCTTTGTGCTACAGGCTCAGCTCAGGCTTTGTGCTGCCAGGCTCAGTCACAAACAAGTCAGGCGCAAGGGCTAGAGATATTTAGGAACTCCATTTGGAATAGAGATAGGTATTTGACAGTCCTCAGTATGGAAGTGGATAAGAGGACACAGGAAAAGCATATAAAATGAGAATGGGGTAGGATCCTGAAAATATTAATGTTTATGAGATGATGAGAAGAACCTGTGGAAGAATCTGTACCCACAGAAGTATAAAGAAGAGTAGACAAGTTCAGATCATGGAGACCCAGGGAAAGGTATATTTTAGGAAGCAGGGAACAGAGGTCAAAATAACTATAAAAGTACAATGGTTAAAATACTGTGATATTGGGCTGGGGAGATAGCTCAGTGATCTGCTTTGTGGCCAGGCTCAGGCTTTATGCTGCCAGGCTCAGCTCAGGCTTTGTGCTGCCAGGCTCAGTCACAAACAAGTCAGGCGCAAGGGCTAGAGATATTTAGGAACTCCATTTGGAATAGAGATAGGTATTTGACAGTCCTCAGTATGGAAGTGGATAAGAGGACACAGGAAAAGCATATAAAATGAGAATGGGGTAGGATCCTGAAAATATTAATGTTTATGAGATGATGTGCTAGGAGGCTCAGGCTCAGGTTTTGTGCTAAGAGGCTCAGTCGCAAACAAGTCAGGCGCGCGGACCCTGATCTTAGGGGATCCGTTGCCTATAGATAAAAGGTGATGAACTGTACAGGGGGTGTACACGGATTGTGGACGAGAGGAACAGGGGCTTCAGACGTAGAGCAGGTTGGGGCAGGAAGAGGGTGGCCCCCAGAAAAAAAATGTGTGAAGAAGCTGTGTGGTCTGCAGGATGAATAAGTTAAAAAGGTAAAGAGGAGGACCTGGTGATCCTGAAGACTTTAAAAAGACAAGCGCGTCCTCTTCAAGGAATGGAAAAAAAGTATAAAATGAGCTAAGACTGAATCTGGCACAGTGACTATGAAGGCTGAGGCAACTTAGTGACCCTTTCTAAAAATAAAATTTTAAAAGGGCTGGGGATGTAGCTCAGTAATAGAGCGCTCCTGGGTTCAATCTCCAGTACGGGGGCGTGTGTGTGTGTGTGTGTGTGTGTGTGTGTGTTGGCAGCGGTGGTGCCATGGTGAGAATTAAGGCTGTGGTGGACCAACAGGAGCTAGGTCATGGCAAGACCTTATAATCAATGTTAACATTTGAACTTGGTCCTGTAGGGGTATGGGTAAGCTATTTTAAAGTAAGGGGTGTGACGTGATTAAATTTGCACTTTATTAAATTTACTCTATACTGGTTGCAGTACAGAGATTGGATTACAGGGAACATGAACAAGGGCAGCAATAGAAATTGTGACTACAGTTACCCAGTGCATAGTGAAAAGAGGCCTGAATTAAGGTAGTCACCAGTGGATGGAGAGAATTCAGGGAACCCTAAGAGTCATTCAGGAATTCAGTGAACATAACTTAGTGGTTGATCCAAGGAGGAAGAAGGATAGAGAATGCTGAGACAACTTCCTGACTTCAGCAACTGTAAGGCCTGTTGTGCCATTCACTGCAGGAGGAAGCACTAGAAGAGTAGTAGTAGGGAGAGTAAGGAGAAAAGATGTCTTCAGTTTTTCATTAGTTTGATATCTCCAAAGAATAGTGACTAGAGATATTTAGGAAAATGAGTCCAAAGTGTAGTTAAGCGGGGTGCAGAACCCTGAAAGTAAGACAGAAGGCGAATCAACTCGACGCAGCGTAGGGAGTCCAGCCTGATTGGGGCGGAGCACCCGCACAGGGTAGACGGGCAGGAGAAAGGGCCAAGGAAGGGACTGACAGGAGGCAGAAGGCAAGAAACACGTCCTTAAGGTTCCCCAAGCTCTGGACCCCAGGCCTTACCAGGGACTGCAGCAGGGGACAGCACTTTCGGCTCCGCCGCCGCCATCACCACCTACTCCCTCTTCTCCCTGCGGTTAGAATGGGCGCCCTGCGGAGCATGATGGGAAGTTCGGACTCCACATCCGGTTCGGCTGGGCCGGAAGCAAGCGAAGCGCCGCCGCCGTCAGTTAAAGGCCGGGCTGGCCGGAAGCAAGCGAAGCGCCGCCGCAGTCAGTTAAAGGCCGGGCGGAGTTCAGAGTTGAGTTCTGCCCTCAGCTCCTGCAAACCCTGCTACAGATACGCCTTGCCCTTCCCCCGCAGGAAACCAGGCCCTCTCGGCAACTGGGCTCTGCCTTCCAAAGGATACCGCACTCACGCATCCATTCCCTCCTGTGTTCACTATTCACTGTCCATCTGCTTTGTGGCCGGGCTCAGGCTTTGTGCTGCCAGGCTCAGTCACAAACAAGTCAGGCGCAAGGGCTAGAGATATTTAGGAACTCCATTTGGAATAGAGATAGGTATTTGACAGTCCTCAGTATGGAAGTGGATAAGAGGACACAGGAAAAGCATATAAAATGAGAATGGGGTAGGATCCTGAAAATATTAATGTTTATAAGATGATGAGAAGAACCTGTGGAAGAATCTGTACCCACAGAAGTATAAAGAAGAATAGACAAGTTCAGATCACGGAGACCAAGGGAAAGGTATATTTTAGGAAGCAGGGAACAGAGGTCAAAATAACTATAAAAGTACAATGACACAGGAAAAGCATATAAAATGAGAATGGGGTAGGATCCTGAAAATATTAATGTTTATGAGATGATGTGCTAGGAGGCTCAGGCTCAGGTTTTGTGCTATGAGGCTCAGTCACAAACAAGTCACGCGCGTGGGCCCTGATCTTAGGGGATCCTTTGCATATAGATAAAACACCACAAACCAACCAAACAAAAACACAGTAGTTTTGGCCCAAGAATAAACAAGAGTTCAGAAACAGAATCTGAATTGGGTAAGGTGCTGCACACTCAAAGTCCCAGTGACTCAGGAGGCTGAGACAGGAGGATCAGAAGTTCAAGTCCTGTCTCAGCAACTTGGCAAGTCCCTAAGCAACTTTGTGCCCAAAATTTAAAAAAAGGGGGCGGGGGGACTACGGATGTGCCTCAGTGGTTAAGCGCCCATGGGTTCAATCTACAGTACCCAAATAAATAAATAAATAAATTAAATTTGTATATGTAGTCTAATGGTGACTTTTCAAAGCAAATAATGTGAGACAACTGTATCTATTTAAAAATTGAGGGCTGGGGATGTGGCTCAAGTGGTAGCGCGGTCGCCTGGCATGCGTGCGGCCCGGGTTCGATCCTCAGCACCACATACAAACAAAGATGTTGTGTCCGCCGTAATTGAAAAATAAATATTAAAAAAGAAAAAGTTCTCTCTCTCTCTCCTCTCTCTTTAAAAAAAAAGTATAAAAATAAATAAAAATTTATTTTGGTCTATCATACACTACAAAAAAATAAATTCCAAATGAATTAAATATCTAAACATAAAAATAAACCTCAAAGCAAGCTCGACATGGTGCCACAAGCCTGTAATTGCTGCTACTTGGGAGACTGAGGCAGGAGGATCACAAATTCCAGGCCAGTCTGGGCAACTCAGCAATATCCTTTCTCAAATTTTAAAAAATATAAAAACCTCAAAAAACTACTAGAAACGGACTAGGGGCATAGCTCAGTGGCATACCATGTTCTTAGCATGCACTAAATCCCTGGATTTGATCCTTGGGGTGAAGGGGTGTTGCTCCTAGAAGAAATATTGGGGAATAATGTATAATCTAGGAGTGAGTTGGCTTAGGGATGACACAAAACCAAGGAAGCATAAAGAGAAAGATTGCTGTCTGAATTCAAAACATATACAAAGGTACTATACACAAAAATTAGTGACTAATTACAGACCAGGAAAAATGCTTGCATGTGACCTGTGTATCCATATATGGGATATATATATCCCATAGCCAACCACCTCATAAGCAATCCTTCCAGGAAACTAATCACACACGCCACTTTCCATTGCCCAGGATCCTGATCTCCTGAACAGATATTCCTATTCAGGCTACTTCTCTGCCAGCCTTCACTTCTATTTGTGGTAGGTAAGGTTGTTTAAGAATGGGCTCTCAGAATGGGTTATCTTCTGCTATCTTTTAAAAGAAATTCTCCATACAGGAGACAAGGGGATTGGAATGGATGAAGTAAAATTGTGTGTGTTGGGTTTGGCTGCTGAAAGATCCATGTACATGAAAAGATGGGTGTTATCAGTCAAGTGCAGCAGGCTCTGGGTATCAAAAAGAACCAGAACTGGTTGTAGTGATAATGTTGGGGTGTGGGTTTATCTCTTGCTTCCCATCCCAATCCTTTTTGAGCTCTGAGTTTTCTACTCTCAGTCTCTAACAGCAGTTTTCCTAGTGCCCCTATGCCCTTGTTAGTGTTCACCTCTACAACATAGCCTTTCCCTCAACCACACAGGATTTCAAAAAGTCACATAAGCCTTCAGCCATTGAAGACCCATATAATTGGCTGGACATGCTAGGTCCATAATTGCTGACTTTAGTCCTTCTGCTCTCACTGCTTTGGGGAGTTATGCCATGTGGACAGCAACTGTGTCATCAGTAGACCTGCCTCTCTCTATATGTGGACCCAGGAAGAAGCCATGGACTCTACCAAGTCTGAACCCCTACAGGGATCACCAGAGGTAAGTCACTGTTGCTGCTTTTAGTTTTCCAAGGAAAACTGAGGTCTGAAGGCACAAGCTGTTTTGTTTCTTGGCTGTGTACGAACATCTCCTTGTTTGTAAAGAGAGGGAAATGTGAGAAGTGAGTCATGAAACAGCCATAGGGCTGGGAATTGAACCCTGGCGTCCTGACTCCCAGCCCAGCAATTCTAACTGCTTCTCCACCCTGTATTTCTGATGTCTTGTACACTGTTTTGTCGCTGGATGTGTTTACTCTATGTGTTTATTCTATGCTGACTGCAAGAGCCCTAAAGAGAAGGGGAGAGGCCTTGGCAAGAAAGTCGAAAGTCAAAAGTCAACAATACCCTGGGGCCCTGGGCCAAGTTTCTATTCCCGGGCACTTCCCCTGCCCTCGCGGTGGTTGAAGTAACCTGAGCTCCAGTCCCGCCCCAAGTAGAGGCCGAGCCCCTCCTACAGCCCTGGCAGTTTTAAAACCAAGCTCAGTTCTCCGGGATTGGTTCGGCCTCAAAACAAAGGGGACGGGGGATACTTGTGGCGGGCAGCTGGCTGGTTTATAGGTTCAGGTCTCGTGTCGGGGCCACCGCGGGGCCTGAGGCTGCTAAAACCAGCCCCCGGACGGTGCCAGCCCAGTAATAAAGCAGTGACTACTGTGTAAAGGTGGCATAATCATCGCCACAAAACTTCCGTAATTAGGCTAAACACCATTCGCCTCCGCCCTGGCGTTCGCCCTGACTCACCCCGACAGCACGCCGGCCATCGGGAAAGAAAACAAGCAGAGGTGGACCTGGCAGGCTGGAGGGACCAGTCTTCCGGAATTCTGCCGCTCTCTAGGTCCAAAACCTGTTGTCTGGCATCCGCAGTAAGAGGTCATAACCAGGGGGGTCCACAAAGCTCGATTCTGATGTAAGTCCTTCGCTGCCGGTGACCGCCCCGATCCTCAGGCCTCAGGGCTTTCAACTGCCCGCGCCCCAAGCCCTAGAAAAAGACCGCTCTGAGCGCGGGCACTGGGAAGCGGACTACAACTCCCTTCGGCCTTTGCGCGCAAAGGCGCGCTCCTTGTCCACGCCCCGAAGCCACCTATGGCTCCTTGCGCCGCGATGCCTCCTGGAAGCTGTAGGGCGGCGGCGCGCTCTTTTAAGAGAGGTCCAAGGCCCATGGACTCGATATCCCGTGGTGCCCCGCGGCTGTTTCTGACGCGACCTGGAGGCCAGGGGAGGTGGGGGCGTGGCCTGCACAGCGCCCCACCCCGCTCTCCTCTGGCTGGCCGACGCGGCGGTGGCAGTAGGGGCGGCGGCGGCGGCGGTGGTGGTGGCAGGGGGGAGGGGTCGGGCGGGGGGGCTGGCGGCAGCGGCGGATGGACTCGCGGGTATCTGAGTTGTTCGGCGGCTGCTGCCGGCCCGGAGGGGGCCCGGCTATGGGCGGAACCCTCAAGGCTAGGGGGGCCGGCGGCAGCAGCGGCTGCGGGGGCCCGAAGGGTAAGAAGAAGAACGGAAGAAACAGAGGGAGCAAAGCCAACAACCCCCCGTACCTGCCCCCCGAGGTGAGCCCCTAAGAAGTTATTGGGCGAGAGGAAACTACTCCTCCAGTCTCGGGACTCTAGGGAGGCGGGACAGAGAATTGGCCCCCCTTCCGGTGTCAAGACCCCAGAGAGGAGGGGTAGGGAAAAAGAACCGCTCCTTCCGGTCCCGGGACCCCAGGAAGGAGGTTAGAGACTTCACGTCCCCTCCGGGAGAGTGCTTACCTCGATTACCCCAGAAGGAGAAATGGGGAAAGGGGATCCCATCCCCCTGGGAAGAGGAGGGTAGAACGTTCCCACCCGCTTGCCTGTGCTGCAACTGGAACGAGGAGGCAGGCAGAATAACCACTACTTTTTCTAAACTTGTTGCGCAGGGAGGAAGGGAGTAGCCTGGAAAAGAGCAATAGGTTCCCTCTGTATCCCTAAGTATACATACACATAAAACCAGACAACAGTTAGACTTCGTCCTCTGCCCTTTGCCTGTCCTATGACAGGGTGGGGACAGGGAAGAGCCTCCACACACAGGCACCATCTGTTCTTATGTCAGAAAGTGACTACTTTGTTCCTACCTCTCAAGATAGGAAGGCCCAGGGAAAAAAGCCTAAATCAGTGGTTATCACACTTTAGTGCACCAGAGTCACCAGGATTGCTGGCTCCACTCCTAGAATTTCTGACTCAATAGGTGAGGGATGGACCTGAGAATTTGTGCTTCTTACCAGTTCCCTTGTGATGCTAATGCTTCTGGTCCTGGAAGCACACTTTGAGAACCACTGGTCTAGATTGTTATCTTTATGCCACATTTCTGATGCCAGCCTTCCTAATTCTCCATCTCTAGCAAAATGATAAAAAGATTTCTGGAAGATCTTTGTTGATGGGGAAAATCTCCCTTATACTCCATGGGATGGAGATTATAGGTGAAGACCACCTGTTAGGGCCTTGAAGGGATGGAATGATACAGAAAGGAAAGAGGAGGAGTGTAGAAATTGAGAATGACAGAACAGGCAAAATCCATAACCTTTTGCATTGGAGAAGAGAAGCCTCAGGCAAAAGGATGCTTCTGTGCTGTGCTACCACCTGGAAGAGGGGATATTCGGGATTTCACCTCAACTGAGGCATGAGGATTAGCGGACAGGAGGCAAGAGCCATAGGGAGTCAAGTTTATGGAGCCTGTCCCCTTTATTACATTTTCTAAGTTCTTTTGTTTGTCTTAACCCCATTTTTGGAGTTCTGCACCTCTCATACCTGGGGCTTTCTTATTCCACTTGTAGTGACCAGTGATGAGCTCACCCTTTGGCCCTGGTCCAGAACCTCTTGCAGCTTCTTACACTTGGTAACATCAGCTGAGAGGGAGGGCAGGAAGGAAATGGTGTCTCCCAGATCAGTTGCAAAGAAAGGCTTTAACAAGCCAGGCATGGTGGTGCATACCTGTAATCCCAGCTTCAGGAGGCCGAGGCAGGAAAATTTCAAGTTTAAAGCCAACCTTGGCATCTTAGCAAGGCCCTGTCTCAAAAATAAAGGAAAAAATACTGAGGATGTGGCTCAGTGGTAAGAGCACCCCTGGGTTCAATCCTCAGCCTTGAGGAAAAAAGAAGCAGCAGCACCCTGTACACAGAGAAAACCTAGAGAACAGTTTTATGTCCTGGGGAGAAGTATGGGTTGATCTTGCATCCAAGAAGAGCATCATGCCAGTGGGTGAAAGAGGAAAGGACTCCAGAATTTTGTTCTTTGCTTAAATGGATGATTTGCTGTGTCCTTAATAGGCCTTTCCTTCAGAGGGGTCACTTGGGGTTGGGTTGAGGAGTTGTCTGCCACTGACTTTCTCAGGTCCTTGCCTAAGCAGATGCTGCTGGGGCTTCCTGCTCTCTCTGCCTGGGCCTAGAGAGAATGGAGGGAAAAGTGGGAATTCAGTCTGGACAGCGTATGGTAACTGCTCCCTGCTTCTTTTCAGGCTGAAGATGGAAACATCGAATATAAAGTGAGTCTTAGGCTGGGGAGGAGCAGAGGGTGGGGTAGGTTGCCCTTGTCATTGAAATCTGAGATCCTTCCAACTTCATGTTCTTTAGCAATTTAGCAATGTGGTTCGGGTAAAGTCTCTACCTCATTTCTGTTGGAGGGGGACTCACTGTTAAGTACCAAGGGAAAGAGGTTTAGGTGGGAAGGGAAGGTCCTAGTCCTTGGGGCAGGACAGGTGGGTACCATGGGGTTTGTGAGGAACACCTCTGATTTTTACCTTCTCATGATATCCCATCTGCCCCTTAGCTGAAGCTGGTGAATCCATCCCAGTACCGCTTTGAGCATCTGGTGACACAAATGAAGTGGCGTCTCCAGGAGGGTCGTGGTGAGGCTGTCTACCAGATTGGGGTTGAGGACAATGGGCTGCTGGTGGGGCTGGCTGAGGAGGAGATGCGGGCCTCCCTCAAGACCCTGCACCGGATGGCAGAGAAGTATGCTTCCCCCTCTTCCTCAGTTCTCCTTTACCTAACTGTGGGGAGGACCCACACATAGGCAGATACCCAGGACCTCAGGGGCCAAGATGGGCTTTCCTTCTACAGTGGTCTCTTGACAAAGGGCTTTTTTGCTCCTTGATTTAAGATGTTTACTTGGTTGTTTTAGAAGAGCCATGAATACATACAGGATAGATTGGAGGGTGGTAGAAAGTACAATAAGGTATTAGGAGGTCTGTGTGTGTGTGTGGCGGGGGGTGTAGGAAGGTTGTTGGTCTAGAGCCAGGCTAGTATGCAGGGAGTATCTGTGAAGTATGGCAGCTGTGGCATTGCTGTGACAGGGTTGGAGCAGATATCACTGTTCTCCGGGAGCGAGAAGTGGATTATGATAGTGACATGCCCCGGAAGATCACTGAGGTGCTGGTACGAAAAGTTCCTGACAACCAACAGGTGAGCCTGTGTCCTTCCTGCCCCCATGCCCATACTCCCTGGGAGAGCCCTGTGGTGGCAGGCTTTTCCTGGCCTGGGATCCTGGCATCCAGATCATTCTGTTGCTCCATAGGAGCATCACCACCTTTGACTTAGGCTTCAGTGAGAAAGGGATTGGAGCCCTTACCTAATACAATTTGTCCACAGTTCCTAGACCTCCGTGTGGCTGTCCTGGGGAATGTGGACTCAGGGAAGTCAACCCTGCTTGGAGTCCTGACCCAGGGAGAGCTGGACAACGGGCGGGGCCGGGCCCGGCTCAACCTTTTCCGACACCTGCATGAGATTCAGTCTGGCCGAACCTCCAGTATCAGCTTCGAGATCCTGGGCTTTAACAGCAAGGGAGAGGTGCATGGGATCAACGGGACCCAGTGGGGCCAGACTCTGAGATGGGATGGTAGAGGTGAAGGACAGAGGTTGGGGGCTGAGTGTGGAGACTTTGTAGTAGTATAGATGAAGGCCCTGAGGGCACTGAACAAGTTTTTCTCTTAGAAAACAAATGGGGAATCAACTGAACTAATTAGAAAATGGGGCTCAGGATTAAGAGGCAGGGCCATCTTAATCCTGGTTTAGGTCCTGGCAACTCTTAAAGGGCTGGGGAGGCTCACAGGGGGCACTGAGAGCCCTGGGCCCTGGACTAGGTGGTGAATTACAGCGACTCACGGACCGCAGAAGAGATCTGTGAGAGCAGCTCCAAGATGATCACCTTCATCGACCTGGCAGGCCACCACAAGTATCTGCACACCACCATCTTTGGCCTCACCTCCTACTGCCCTGACTGTGCCCTGCTCCTTGTCAGTGCCAATACTGGCATTGGTAAGAGGTCTTGGGCAGGGAAAGGGGGTGCTGACTTTCCCACTTTGGGAGCCAGCACTGATTCTTCTCTTCCCTCTCCTTCTTCCTATACTCTCATTCTTCTATCCTCCTGCCTGCCTTCTTTGAGACAGCTGGCACCACAAGGGAACATCTGGGACTGGCCCTGGCCCTGAAAGTGCCCTTCTTCATCGTGGTCAGCAAGGTGGACCTATGTGCCAAAACTACAGTGGAGAGGACAGTACGCCAGCTAGAGCGGGTCCTCAAGCAGCCCGGCTGCCACAAGGTCCCCATGCTGGTTACCTCTGAGGATGATGCTGTCACTGCTGCTCAGCAGTTTGCCCAGTCACCCAAGTAAGCCTGCCTCATCTTAAAGCCCTGATTCATGGGAAAGAATGCTTTAGGGCCCAGGAACATGGTGTCTTATCTCCAGAGCCAGATGGATTCTTGCTCAGTTCTATGACTTTCAATTTGGGACTGTGGGAGGAAGTCTTTTTAAAGGGATTGGCCCTTCCACTATGCCAACATGGAGTCTCACTGATGCCTAGAATCCTATAGACATTTACTGTCTCCCTGGAGCCGGGGGCTGGGCTTCACATGTCATATTCCTTGGCTTGCTCACAGCCAGAAGAGAGGGCCCCTCAGCTGTCCAGACAGAAGCTCACCTTTCAATGTGTGGGCCCCTGGCCTCTGCCTTCTGGACTTCCCTCATCTTCCCATTCCATCCCTTTCTCCATAGTGTCACCCCTATCTTCACACTGTCCAGCGTGTCTGGAGAGAGTCTGGATCTCCTTAAAGTCTTCCTGAATATCCTGCCTCCCCTGACCAACAGCAAAGAACAGGAGGAGCTTATGCAGCAGTTGACGGAATTTCAGGTAGTTGGTCAAATAAACAGGTAGAAGGGGTTAGGGGGAAGGGGCCAGTTCTGACCAGTCCCAGAGCCTATTCAGAGAAGCTGGACCTGCTAGCCCTACTTAGGAGGACATTGATAGTTTTCTTTGGCTCCAGGTGGATGAAATCTACACAGTGCCAGAGGTGGGGACTGTTGTTGGAGGGACACTTTCCAGGTGAATTGCCTTGTTTGCTACCCACCCCACTCAGCCCTCACATGCCCCTGTACTCGGAGACATCCTGGCCCAAAGGAGGAGATCCTCGAGTTGAACAGAGCCCATCTACAAGATACGCTTGTTTGCAAATTAGGCTTCCACTATCAGAAGTGCTGGCAGGAGCTAGTCTATTGGCTTATTGCTGCATGCTGGGAATCTCCAGACCCCTGAGTGAGATGTGTCATGGGCCCCAGGAAGAAATCTAGACTGTATTCAACTGATCTCATCTCAAAAGTATGAAATGAGAAAATGACTCTTTGCAAAGCAGAGGGTGAAACCGAAGAGAATAATTTCCTCTTTCAGGGATCAGGTGTTCAGTGTTACCAACCCAGCAGGTACCTCTCTGCCAGATGTCACTGCTGACCTTTTCTGGCATTAGCCTTCATTGTCTGAACTAAGGACCAGGCAAGGAAGTCATCGCTCCTATCTCCAAATCTGAAATTAGGATTTCCTTCCCCTTACTTGAGGGACTCAACCCCAGAAGGGAAAAATTGCTCTGGGTGTCTCTAGCAGATAAGTAAGAGACCTACTCTGACACTGTGCCACCTTCCCTCTGGGCTGCAGTGGGATTTGCCGTGAGGGGGACCAGCTGGTGGTTGGCCCCACAGATGATGGCTGCTTCCTGGAGCTGAGAGTGTGCAGCATCCAGCGCAACCGCTCTGCCTGTCGTGTGCTGCGAGCTGGGCAGGCTGCTACATTGGCCCTTGGGGACTTTGACCGTGCACTGCTTCGCAAGGTGAGGTGTGTGAGTGGGATGGAGAGGGAGTGCACAGAGAAGTGCCTTGGTCTGGCTAATGAGTAAGGAGCTCCCTTCTAGAGTGCTTCAGAGAAACGCAAAGGAAACATGGTCTCTTAACCCAAGAAGCTTAAGGTCTGTTTATTATACAGACTGTATGAAAATGGCTTAGAATCCTTATGAAGAGCAGATCACTAAGTTGAATCACTGTGCAAAGTGAATGTCCAGGACACTAAACATACAAAGCTTTGAAGGGTTAGAGGTAAATAAGAGTACCTACCAAAAGGAGAATTTGAAATATTATCTTGTGAGGTCTATGTGTTTGGGGTCATGTAAAAGAAAAGGAAATTCAGGAGCTGTAAAGAGGTTGGGAGGGCTGGAAAGGGTGAGTCTAATGCTAGATCTGCCCTTCCTGGGCCTGGGGACTGTGCCTCCCCAGGGCATGGTGATGGTGAGCCCCGAGATGAATCCCACCATCTGCTCAGTGTTCGAGGCAGAGATAGTCCTACTGTTCCATGCCACCACCTTCCGACGAGGATTCCAAGTGACAGTACATGTGGGCAACGTACGTCAGACAGCAGTGGTGGAAAAGATCCATGCCAAGGTGAGAGGGACCCAGTCATGCCTCCCTTTCTTCAGGGAAAAGTCAAGAATTCTCCCTCCAGAAGGGAGGGAGGCCCAATCTCAGACTTGGCAGAGCTCCCTGATCCCTTGTAGGGAACAAAAAAGCCTTACTTAGGGTGGGAAGCAGCCCACCCAGAGGTCCTGAGGGTGGAGAGCCAATGCTAGTAGAGAATGGGATGGGAGGCACTGGCCAGGGCAGTGACTGCTTATCTGCTGCAGGACAAGCTGCGGACAGGGGAGAAGGCAGTTGTACGTTTCCGCTTCCTGAAACACCCAGAGTACCTGAAGGTGGGCGCCAAACTGCTGTTCCGGGAGGGTGTCACCAAGGGCATCGGCCATGTCACTGATGTGCAAGCCATTACAGCAGGAGAAGCCCAGGCCAACATGGGTTTCTGAATCCTCCAGGCAGTGACAGCTCTATTGCTGCCCCTACAATATATAAGGTGACTTCTGGCCGTGCTGCCCCCTGTTGGCAGCTTTGTGTGTTAATAGGCTAGGGAGAGAGGGTGCTCTCTGCCATTTGCTTCCTGCCACCTTTGGAGAGGTGTCAAGCCTGGTTGGCCAGGGAGGGGCAGTCCTGAGGGAGAAGACAGAAATCAGGGCAGTGTTCAGCAGCTGTGTGCCCACCTGGTTGGCTCAACCCTGGCAACTCCATGGCCTGTCTACTGGAGGGAGCTGACTACAGCCACCTTGGCCCCACTCCCAGGACTGGTTGTGAGTCACCAGTATGATCCCAGCACTTCAGGAATTGTCACAACTGGGGTGGTCCTCGAAAGCACTCCTTTTTCTATACCTCGTTCTCAAGGCCACGTAAGTTGCCCATCTCTACCTGACTGTGGACAAAAAACATTGCTCTTGGCCATCTGGTGGCCCAGGGTCTGAAGAAATGGCACAGGAACAGCAAATGGCAGTGCTCCCACTCTGTGCTGAGACCCAAGGCCTGTTCCTGAGCTTTATTTCCTTTCCTTTCTTCCCACAAGGGCCATTTCCCCAGCTTCTCTCATAAGCCCCACAGGTGCTATTTATTGTGCTGGTCCAGGCGTGGGGCTGCCAAGCTAAGACTTGGCATACCAAAGGCCAGCTGCATGTCAGTCTTGTCCTTTTCTCTGCAATCATCTGACTTTCATCAAATAGTGTTTTTTTCCCCCCCAGACTGGTGGCTGGGGGACCTGACCCACAGTTCCACATCCTACCATCCTCACCCCCACTTCTTGCTCCCATATAAACTTTCTCATTTCAGTAATTTGTAGTGACCATACCCTTCCCTCTATCGCAGGGAACCAGGAGGAAAGGGAAAAATGTTGCCATATTTCCTACTCTTTAGGCATGGACTCCCTCCTTTCCCTTTATTAGTGTCCTGGGTTCCCATGGACTCAGGGATTTGTTGATTGAAGTTTCTCTGCATATATATATATATGTATATATATATATATATATATATATTTAAGTACACATATATATTGTACAGAATAAAAAATGTTTTATTGAGTATATTGTACTTATGCTTAAGACACAGGTTCAGCTTACAGAGTTAGCTTCCTCTCTAGGATTAGAGACAAGTGAAACCCTATCATTGCTGAGCCCTGAATGGGGAAAAGATTCATCCTATATCTCATTTGCCATTCTTTTCCTCTCTCTCACATATTGGTGTCTTTTTTTTTGTACCAGGGATTGAACTCGGGGGCGCTTAACCACTGAGCCACAATCCCCAGCCCTATTTTATATTTAAGAGACAGGGCCTCAATAAGTTACTGAGGCTGGCTTTAAACTCAATTCTCTTGCCTCAGCCTCTCAAGCCACTGAGATTACAGGCATGTGCCACAGTGTCCAGCCTTCTCCCACACATTGGGTCCATGTTCTCTCCTGCTTTTCATAGTTCTTTGAGTAAGCAAAGCTAAACAGCTTTTCAGCTCAAACAGGCAGCTATACTATATTTGAAGACTTCAATACTTGTTAGCAGCTCAGTGGTAAGAACAGATTTAATCAGATTTGGAAATTAGAATGCTAGCTGGTTAAAAAAAAATTATTATTTTTTTTTTTTGGTGGTATTGGGGATTGAACCCAGAGGTGCTTGACCACTGAGCAACATCCCTAACCCTTCTTTGTGTGTGTGTGTGTGTGTGTGGTACTGGGAATTGAACCCAGGGCCTTGTGCATGCGAAGCAAGCACTCTGCCAACTGAGCTATATCCCCAGCCCCCTAGCCCTTCTTATTTTGAAACAGGGTCTGAATTGCTGAGGCTGGCCTAAATTATGATCCTCCTGCCTCAGTTCTCGAGTTGCTGGGATTATAGGCATGCACCACCGTGCCTGGCAAGTTAAGTAATTAGGCACACTTTTCAGGTTTGTAGAACCTAGATTCTTGGAGCTGTGGGAGCCACCTGGCCAAACCTCACTGCCAAACCTCACTCCCTCTTCCTATTTCTATATTTTCATGTTGTGGGTAAAGAAACAGGGCCTAAGGCTAAAATAAACTGCAGAAAACAGGGACTACATTTGGGCACTAACCCTGGCAAAGAAATATAATGATACATGTGGCCCAAGGTCCTATGTGGCATTCCGCTTCTAGAGTATTAAATAGCTACCTCTCAGGGTCAGCTGCTGCTCAAAATACTTTTAACTTGTTACTAAGAGGCTGTGGTTAAAGAACTTCCTTCTATACCAGGAGCTAAGAGTGTTTACTTCTTTTTGCACAGTTGCTGATAGTGAGGAAGGAAAGGATATATGCAGCAAAACTTAATATAGCTCTCCCCCTAGCACTGACCTTTGCATGCCTGTCTGCTCTCCCCTTCACAACACAAACTGGGTTAGGGCTAGGATTTCCAAGAAAACACAAGTTGTGCTGCAAGTATTACTATTGGTCATCTACTAGCCACCCTACCCTACCCTACACACTAGCTTGGGCCTGTAGAAGTTCAATGAAACCTAAGTTTCTACCACATTACATTTCTGTACAAAAGTTTATTCAGTTTGATCTATTGAACAGCAAAAAAGAGGCTTCACCTTGTTTTTACTTATCTTTTCTAGATTAAGAAGGGAAATGTTGGAAAATCATGTCTCAGTACTTAGTATCCATCTCCAGGAACTAGTGAGCCACTCTGCTATGTTAATGGAACATTTAGGGGGATAAAGTGTATAAGGCAGATCCTGAAGGAGTTTGTAACTTTTTATTGTCAGTTCTGGTAGTCAGATCTAAAGTTTCTCAACATATATTCAACCAAGGAATATTAAGCACTTGTTATGTGCAAGGCACTGTGAAGAATTCCTGCCTTTAAGAAACTACAAATCTAGTAGAGAAAAAGCAATGTACCCAGTGAATTACTGTGAGCTCCCTTAGAAAAGGAAAAAAGTTTCTTGCTAGATCCTGTGGTTTTCAAACAAATTAAATACAAGTCTCCTAATTAAAAAAAAATAAAAAGTATAAGTTGATTTGTATATACAAATATTTAGTATTTGGTAAGCTATGGCACCAGTGACTCCAGAGGCTAAGGCAGGTTGAGAGGCTGAGGCAGGCTGAGACCAACCCTGGGCCAACTTAGACCTTGTCTAAAAAAAAGGGGCTGTGGATGTAGCTCAGTGGTAGGTGCACCCCCTAGGTTCAGTCCCCATGCCCACGTAACCTACCACATCATTTTCAGTTGGTTCCATGTATAATTCAAGGTTTCTGTTATCAGAGAAACTCAAAGAACTGGGATGTGGCTCAGAGAAAGAGTGCTTGTCTGTTATGTTGAAGGCCCTGGATGGACCCATGGCACCCCATCCCCAATACTATAAGCATGGACAAGTTCAAAAGCTATAATAGCCCTAAACACTTATACTTCAATAAGAAGAGATCAACATACTAGTGACCCTAAAATCCCAAGCAAGCATTTACCTCTTAAATTTGCACTCAGTGTTAAGGACATATTCTCTAGTATTTTCTAGATCAGCATTTCTAAAATGACACACATTGGGAGGTCTTAACATATAGGTCTTGATTGTTTCTTGGTGATGCTGTTCTTGGGGAATAGCAAGGTTCTAGAGATGATCTTGTCTTGATTGTGACTTATCCAAACAGGCTTTCTGAACTAGCACAGGAGCAATCTCATTCTACGTTAGAATAAAATGTAGATGTATAAGGGCCAGTAGCTAAAATAGGCTAATAGCTTTACTTGTATGAAATTAAGTAGTAATCTAGAAGCTTTTATATGAAGAGCCCTCCCTAAACTAGTTACCACTTTCAGGGTTTCAAGCCCTCAGGCATTGTCTGAACTGTTGCAGAGGTAGGAAGATTTTGGATTGGTTTAGGGATTGAGCCCAGGGACACTTAACCACTAAGTCACATCCTCAGCCCCAATCCCCTCCCCCCCTTTTTTTTTAACTTCTGGTACTGGCTAAGTTGCTTAGACTCACTTTGAACTTCCAGTCCTGTCTCAGCCTTGAGCCCCTGGGATTATAGCATTTTTTGAGAAAGGGTCTCACTAAGTTGCTAAGGCTGACTTTGAATTTGTGATCCTCCTGCTCTGCTCTAGCCTCCTGAATCACTGGGATTAAGGCCAGTTTTGTTTTTTTAACCATTTTTACGCCAGTGTGTGTGTTTGTGTTTTTGTGGTACCAGGAATAGAACTCAGGGGATTATATCCCCTACCCCTTTTATTTTTTGCAACAGTGTCTTGCTAAATTGCTGAGGCTGGTCTTGAGCTTATGATCATCCTGCCTTAGCCTCCCCAGTAGCTGCCATTACAGGTGGAACACTGCTTTCTGTGCCACTTTTAAATTAGGTATTTTAAAACATCTTTTAAATAAATCTTCAATAATCTCTAAGGTAATTATCTCAGTTTTTCAGTTGAGGAACTGAAATAACTTGCTTAAAGCCATACTCAGAAATTGAGGCAGAGGGAAGTTTGGTATCAGGTCTCATAGGTTCCAAGCCCACACACTTTTTGCTGTGTGACACCTTAAAAACAAAAAGGATGAATTTTTTACAATTTGGTGGGGATAGGGGAGACTGAGAACTTAACCAGGGGCTATTTACCTTTGATCTACAACATCCCCAGCCTCCCCCCCCACACTTTTTATTTTTTTAAAGAGACAGGGTCTTGCTAAATTGCTGAGGCTCACCTCAAATTGGTACCTCAGCCTCCCAAGTTAGGATGTTTACAGTTCTATCAGCAATGGGATTAAAATCCCATGAGAAGAGATAGGACCTTAACCCAGTACCTAACATAATTATTTTTTAAATTAAAAATTTCATTGTTATGGATTTCCTTACTTGCACCTTTCAGGCAGTGGATAAAATATTAAATTCCTTCAGCAAGCCTGAGGGCAGCACTAATGTGTTAATGGCTTAAAAAATGATTCCAATGTCTGCATGCCCTCAGGCCTGGGGCGTTTATTACTGGAGGACAAAGGGCTCTTGGAATTTCTTTTGCCTTGAGTCATAGCAGAAACAACTTGGGGGTTTGAGGAATGGGGCTGCAAAAATGATTTCTGCAACTCCACTGCAAAATGATAGTCCATATGTTCTGGCATCTCCCATACTAATATCAGGGAGCCACACTTCTCACAGGGCACTTGGTCCTCAGCAGCTAGAAGACTAGGGGTGGTAGCTACCTTTGGGGCCATCTCCACAGACTTGGAAGCTAAAAATGTAAGGATAGTTGAGCTGTTCTGGGCTAAATCAATCTCTGTAGAAACTTCTTTGGAGGAGTCTAGCTTCAATGCTCCTTTACAAACAGGGACAACATCTGAATATTCTGCTGGGAAATGGTTTGTTAACCCTTTAAAGTTGGACTGTGGGTTTTGTGGAGGGGAAGAAACTGAAGAATTAATATGCTGTTTCTGCTCTAGAAGCAAACTTTTCTGCTTGAAGAAGGACTCGGTTCCTGTAGTATGACGCGTTTGAAAAAATGAGGGCTTGGATGGTGAATTGCTCATGGGGGCCTGAGTAGTAGCACTAAAAGATGAAAATGAAGCTTCTTTGACTTTCTGCTTTTCTGTAGCTTTTTGGAAGAATGACTCCAGAGAGGTGGTTGCTTTCTTAGTGGCTATCATTGCTGGGCCACTTCCCTGGGTCTTAGCTTCTGAGCTGGTAACTGGCATCTTTGGCAGAGAGCTTGAGTTGCCGCTCAAGAACATGGTGATGTCTGTGCAAGATGAAGATGTAGAGGCAGAGAATTTGGTAGCACAGAGGAAAAGCATTGTGAGTGGAGGGGACCTGTATACAAAGGAAAAGAATAAGGAGATTAACGACAGGTCACTATTTTCAGAGCTTATATAGATTCAATTCATAAGGGACTGGTATTCTAGTTCTGCCACAAGAGGAAGTTATTCCTTAATGTTGAGTGTTTCTCAAACTTTATTATATATTGTATTAACATAGTACCTGGGATGAACAGAGAATTTCTGCTAATTTCAACCAGTTTCCTAGCTGATGCTGATATTGCTTGTCTGGGACCACCTTAGGAACCAGTTAGGTATTATTATTTTTATAAAACAGCTGCAAAAGTTGCTATAATTCGGGGTTGGGGCAAGTAATTTTATTCAGAATAACAGAAATGAAATGCTTTAGAATATTCAGACTAGAAACACTTGAAAAGTAAGCTTTGTAGACATTCTCATGTTTTTATTTATTCATTCATTCATTTTGGGGTATTGGGGATTGAACCACAATACTTTACCACTAAACTACATCCCCAGTCTTTTTTGGGGGAGGTGGATACCAAGGATTGAACCCAAGGGTGCTTAACCATTGAGCAATATCCTCAGCCCTTTATGTTTTATTTTTAGACAGGATCTCACCAAGTTTCTTAAGGCCTTGTTAAATCTTTGAAGCCAGCTTTGAATTAGTGATCCCCCTGCCTCAGGCTCCCTAGCTACGTGCCACTATATCCAGCATCCACGGTCCTTTTTAAAAACTTTTTTTTTTTTAAGTTGTTGATGGACCTTTATTTTATTTATTTGTATGTGGTGCCGAGAATCGAACCCAGTGCCTCATGCATGCCAGGTAAGTGCACTACCACTGAGGCACAACCCCAGCCCAAAATTAGATTTTTTTAAAAAATATTTATTTTTTAGTTGTAGTTGGACACAATATCTTTTTTTTTTTTTTTTTTTAATGTGGTGCTGAGGATCGAACCCAGGACCTCGCACATGCTAGGCGAGCGCTCTACTGCTGAGCCACCATCCCAGCCCCTAAAAATTAAATTTTGAGGCAGGTTCTTACTAAATTGCTGAGGCAATTACAACTCAACTTGTAATCCTCCTGCCTCAGCCTCCCAAGTCACTGGGATTAAAAGCATGCCCATTCTTCTATTTTTAAATTAATATATATATATTTTTAGTTATTTATATGCAGTGCTAAGAATTGAACCCAGGGCCTCACACATGCTAGGCAAGCACTCTACCACTGAGCCACAACCCCAGCCCCTAAATAGTGCATTTCTTAACCCAGACAGACTTTCCAGAATGAAATTCTACAACTGCTTTTGGTTACCAATCCCAGTCTCAAACATTTCAGGAAATTCCTGTTATAAAGTTCTTCATTATATCTAATTACCTTAATAAAATTTTCATGAGCTGTATTTCAGAACATGAGGCACAGTTGTATGTACAGATTCGCTCCTCAATGAAGCAAAGAATAAATGTTATTTTAAAGTTATTATGATGAAATCTCACTATCTTCAGATTTCATACTTTGGGACCATCTCAGATAATGTTGATGCCTCCCTGTTCAATAATTTTCACATTATTGGTGAGGAGTATGTTATGGTTTGTCAACTTTCAAATAAGGTTTCATATGAAAGTAGTACAACAATTATCATTTGGTTCTGTGTAACTGTTCAATTCTTCCTCTAAAAAACCCCAATTTTAGAGACCCCTCCAACAAATTATAGATCTGTACATACAATAGCAGTGCCAATATATTTAGATAACTTAATGATAAACGTTATTTTTTTATAATCTTAGTGTACATCTGTAAGTAAATTTAACTGTATTTAATAGGCTATATTTAATAAGGATTCCAATCCTGAAAATTATCATCTATTTGGCTATACTTAATGACCAAAGGAAGTTTATTATGAATATGACCTTTGATATAACACCAGTGGAGCTTGCAGCTAAACTGATAATCAATAAACCAAAGTCACTTTCTTAAATACAAAAGCTGTTTTTAAGATGGAACAGTCAGGGCTGGGGATGTGGCTCAAGTGGTAGCATGCTCCTGGCATGCGTGAGGCACTGGGTTCGATCCTTAGCACCACATAAAAATAAAATAAAGATATTGTGTCCACCTAAAACTAAAAAATAAATATTAAAAAAAAATGGAACAATTAAGCAGCCGGGTGCAGTGCCACGTGCCTGTAATCCCAGTGACTCAAGAAGCTGAGGCAGAAGGATCACGAGTTCAAAGCCAGCCTCAGCAAAAGCAAGGTGCTGTGCAACTCAGTGAGACCCTGTCTCTAAATAAAATACAAAATAGGGCTGAGGAGGTGGTTCAGTGGTCAAGTGCCCCTGAGTTCAATCCCCAGTACCCCCCGCCCCCCAAAAAAAGATGGGACAACCAAGCACTTGAGAGAGAAGTTCTCAAGTATATTCTAATATGTGTTGCCAATCTGAGTCATAAGGAGACTACCTCAGATGAAAGAGTTTGGATGCCCACTAATTTTAGAGCCAAAACAGAATAAGTGGATAAGTCTCTTTCTCAGAAGAGACTTAGGGAAAAAAAAAAAAAAAACACAACTCACCACTCAGTTTGGATTCCGGAAGTATTACAGTTTCTGATGACAGCAAAAGCATCGTGGCTCATCTTGTGAGCATCATAGTGGGTAAGGGCACAGCAACGGCGCAGGCTGCTGAGACGTTTGTCTCCTTGTACACGAATGCTTACAATCAACTGTGTGGCCACCCTGTCATTCTGTGGGTAGAAAAGATTTGGGACTAGAAATAAAGTTATCAAGAGCGCCTGGATTCTGTATACTGAATGAACTACATGGGAGGAATTAAAAGAACCAGGGTAAAAGACTGGTTTAGAAACAAAGTTTCAATTAAGTCAAGAATAAACTGTCACTAAGCAAAAAATGAGGCTCTTTTATTCCATTTTGTATATTAGAGTTCCTATTTTGCACGTTTGGTACTATGAGAGATGCAAAGACAATCCCTGTTTTCATATATTGTATTAATAGTATAGAATTTATACATTAGAATCACGTTTTCTGAATAAAAATCCAATCACATGGTTGGGTTGTCTCAGCACCACATAAAAACAAATAAAGGTATTGTGTCCATTTACAACTAAAAAAATTTTTTTAAATCCAATTATATGATTCCACACACAAAAAAAGTTTGTGCTATTTCTGGATGTAAGAAGTAATCAGACAAGACATAATTTGGGTGATGGGATATTAAAATATCTAGGATATTTTGACAAGTAATGGGAATAGGACAGAAAAAATGAAAATGGAACTCTCTTGATTTTTTTTCAGGTGAATAAACAAGATTATAACAAAATACTACAGTATTACATTCTATTTCTGAAAAAGAGTTTAGGAAAGTAATTGTCTGAAAGTCAGGATGTCACGAATGAGTAATGGTTCTAGTTTCCAATCAAGTCCTTTGTCTTTTTTCTGCCCTGTTGCTTTTATGCTGAAAGCAGCTGAAACTTCCACTGGTACCTCGACACAGAATGGTAAAACCTCTAAAGAGCAAGGCCATTTACTACTTTTCAGTTAAGTCTAAACATCTGAATACTGTTGATGTTCATCAAACCAAAATAAAGGTCAAGACATGGAAATATAAGAAAGTGAAAAGGATCCCAGCAAAAATCAAAAGATGAGCTGGACATGGGGCATGCCTGTAATCCCAGTGGTTTGGGAGGCTGAGGCAGAAAGATCGATAAATCAAGGCCAGCCTCAACTATTTAGTGAAGCCCTAAGCAACTTAGTAAGACCCTGTTTCAAAAAATAAAAAGGGCTGGGGATGTGACTCAGTGGTCAGGCACCCATGGATTCAATCCCTGGTACAAAAAAAAATATGCTAGTGAGAAGAAATGTTCCTGTGGCAGGGTGAAAATACATTTATGAGATTTGTATATCTTGAGAGAATATAAATTGGCAATTACAAATAAACCCTTGTTGATGAAAAAGATAAAACTATAATTGAGTGCCTATTATTATATCTAGGCAATACCAGGAGATGCAAGAGAGAACAAATAAAGTCCAGAACCTCATGGATTTTACATTGTAATAGGGGCTGCGTACAAGAAACAAGAAGCAGGGTTGGGGTTGTGGCTCAGTGGTAGAGTGCTCGCCTAGCATGCATAAGGCACCGGATTTGATCCTCAGCACCATATAAATGTAAAATAAAGAAATTGTATCCACTTAAGCTTAAGAATATTAAAAATAAAGAAGGCAAGTAATAAAAATTACTAGAGAGCTGAGCATGATGGAATTCAAATCCCAGCTACTTGGGATTATAGGTGTTAGCCAAAGCAGGAGGATTCCAAGTTGGAGGCCAGCTTCAGCAGCTTTGTAAGACCCTAGTCAAAAAAATAAAAAAGGCTGGGGATGTAGGCTCAGTGGTAGAGAGCTTGCCTAGCATGCATGAATTCCCCAGTACCATTAAAATAATAATAATAAAAAAGCCAGCTTCTCAAAAATTTAAAAGGAATGTGTTCAATCCCTGATGTGTACACACACACAGCCATAGCAACTTAGCAAGACCCTGTCTTAAAAAGGACTGGGTTCAATCCTTGGTACACACACGCACACAAATCAATATGAGCAAAGAAAGATTCTCTGAGGCAAAGGAACAGGAAATGCAAAGGTGTTACAGTGAGATCTTACCTGGTGTATTAGATAAAAGGGAAGAAAGCCAGTGAAGTAGACACTACAGCAGAATAAATGAGAAGAAAGGTGAGAGACAAGAGACTAGATCATCATATTTATAGATTAAAAAAAAAAAGATTCTAGCCAGGCATGGTGGTACATGCTTGTAATCCCAATTTACTTGGGAGGCTGAGGCAATAGGATTGCAAGTTCAAGGTCAGCCTAGGCAATTTAGTGAGACTCTGTCTCAAAATAAAAAATCAAAAGGGCTGGGTAAGTAGTGGTAGAGTGCTTGCTTAGCATGTGAAAGGCCCTGTGTTTGACTCCTTGGGCAAAATAAATAAATAAATAAATCCTTAACAGAGCTTAGATGGCAAAGGAAGCCACTGGAATATTTTAAACAGTGGAGGTTCAGGATCTTCTATGTCTTGAGTTATTTTCAGGAACCTTCCCACCCCCACTCCTCCACAATGGATAGAAATCGGGAAGAAAAGCCCCAGAGGATTATAGAGAGATGAGTACTGAGTGACACCTAGTGGGAAAAGTTGCATAGGCCCAATAACAGCTGGGATCAAATTCCTCTTTACATTACCTACCAAAGATGTAAGAATGTAGGTAGGTAATGTAATGGTCAAGAATAGTCGAAAACTACTTGTTTGCTCTTTTGTAGCTGTAATTGGTCATGAATGTTATTTTGGTAGGTAATGTAAAGAGGAATTTGATCTCAGTTGTTATATGTAACTTTGAAAACATTATGTTAAAGATTTAAAGGGCTGAGTCTGTAGCTCAGTGGAACAGTTCTTGCCTAGCATGCATGAGGAACTGGGTTCGATCCTTAGCACCACATTAAAAAAAAAAATACAATAAAGGCATGCTGTCTATCTACAACTACAAAAAAATAATAATAATAATAATAAAAAGATTTCAAGCCAGTCCAGACCAGGCACAATGGCGCATGCTGTAATGCCAACAGTTCAGGAGTTGGAGGCAGGAGGATCTTGAGTTCAAAGCCAGCTTTAGCAACAGCAAGGCACTAAGCAACTCAATGAGACCCTGCCTCTAAATAAATTACAAAATAGGGCTGGGGATGTGGTATGCCCCCCCCCCCAAAAAAAATAATTACAAGCCAGTCCAAAAGAAATTAAAGGGGTACAAATAGGAAAAGAAGAGCTCAAACATCTCTGTTTGCTGATGACATGATCCTATATTTGGAATACTCAAAAAACTCCACCAGAAAACTTACAGAACTCATAAATGAATTCCGCTAAGTTGCAGGATAAAAAAATTTTTTTGGTGTTGGGTGAGTTACCAGGGATTGAACTCGGGGAGACTTGACCACTGAGCGATATCCCCAGCCCTTTTTGTATTTTATTTAGAGACAGGGTCTCACTGAATTGCTTAGTGTCTTGCTTTTTGCTAAGACTGGCTTTGAACTCACAATCCTCCTATCTCAGCTTCCCAAGCTGCTGGAATTACAGGTGTGCACTACCATGCCTGGCAGGAAACAAAATTAACACCCATAAATCAATTGCATGTTCCTATACGCCAATGATGAATCAGCTTAAAAAGAAATTAGGAAAACTATCCCATTTATAATAGCCTCAAAAAAAAAAAAATACCACTTGGGAATCAATCTAACAAAAGAGGTGAAAGACCTACAATGAAAACTATAGAACAGGGGCTAGGGTAGTGGCTCAGTGGTAGAGTGCTTGCCTAGCACAGGTAAGGCACTGAGTTCGATCCTCAGCACCACATAAAATTAAATAAATAAAAATAAAGGCATTGTGTCCACCTACAACTAAAAAACAAAAAACAAAACAAACAAAAAAAATTCTATAGAACACTAAAAGAAACCTGAAGAAGATGGGAAGATCTCCCAGGTTCATGGGTAGGCAAATTAATATGGTCAAAACAGCCATACTACCAAAAGTGATATACAGATTTAATGCAATTCCATTAAAATTCCGGTGATGTTCTTCATAGAAATACAAAAAGTAGGGCCGGGGTTGTGGCTCAGTGGTAAAGGGCTTGCCTAGCATGCATGAGGCACTGGGTTTGATCCCTGGCACCACATAAAAATAAACAAATAAAATAAAGGTATTGTGTCCACCTACAACTAAAAAAATATTTAAAAAAAAAAAAGAAATACAAAAAGTTGTCATGAAATCCATTTGGAAAAATAAGAGGCCAAGAATAGCCAAAGCAATCCTTAGAATAGTGAAGCAAGAGGCATCACAATACCAGATCTTATACTACACAGTTAGTTACAAAAACAGCATGTTATTGGCACCAAAACAGTCATGAAGACCAATGGTACAGAATAGAAGAACACAGAGATAAACCCACATAAATACAATTTTCTCATACTAGTCAAAGTCACCAAAAACATACATTGGAGAAAAGAGCCTTTTCGACAAATGGTGCAGGAAATCCATATGTAGAAAATGAAATTTAACCCATCTCTCACCTTGCACAAAACTCAAAATAGATCTAAGGCCTAGGTATTAGATTAGAAACACTGTACCTACTAGAAGAAAATGTAGGCCCAACATTCCAACATGACTTCTAAGACTCCTAAAGCACAAGGAATAAAATAAAAAATCCAATAAATGGGATAGTATCAAATCAAAGATTCTTCACAGCAAAGGAAACAATCAAGAGTGAAGAGAGAGCCTGGAGAATGAGAGAAAAATCTTTGCCACCAATACCTCAGATAGGACATTAATTTCCAGGATATATAAAGAATCAAGGGCTGGGGCTATAGCTCAGTGGTAGAGTGCTTTCCTAGCATGCATGAGGCGCTGGGTTCAATCCTCAGCACCACATGTAAATAAACAAAATAAAGGCATTCTGTCCATCTACAACTACAACTACAAAAGAGAATTTAAAAAATATTAAAAAAAAGAACTCAAAAAGCTTAATACCAAAAACAATAAATAACGCAATCAATAAATGGTCAAAGGAATTAAACAGACACTTCTCAAAAAGAAGCCATCAACAAATATATGAAAAACTGTTCAATATCTCTAGCAAGTAGAGAAATGCAAATTAAAACTACATTGAGATTTCATCTCACTCCAACTAGAATGGCAATTATCAAGAATACAAGTAACAATAAATGTTGGCAAGGATGAGGGGAAATGAGTACACTCATACATTGTTGGTGGGACTGCAAATTAATGCAATCACTTTGGAAAGCAGTATGGAAATTCCTCAAAAAACTCGGAATAGGGGATGGGGTTGTGGCTTAGTGGTAGAGTGCTTGCCTAGCATGTGTGAGGCACTGGGTTCGATCCCCTGCACCATGTAAAAAAATAAACAAAATACAGGTATTGTGTCCATCCACAACTAAAAAAAAAAAACTAGGAATGGAACCTCCATTTGACCCACTTATCCCACTCCTCAGTATATACCCAAAGGAGTTAAAATTAGCATACTACAATGATGCAGCCACATCAATGTTTATAGCAGCATAATTCATAACAACTAAGCTATGAAACCAACCTAGATGCCCATCAACAGATAAATGGATAAAGATATTGTGGTATATATATACAAAGGAATATTACTCAGCGATAAAGAAGAATGACTATGACACTTTGCTGGTAATTGGTTGGATCTGGAGACTACCTGCTAAATGAAATAAACCAATCTCCCAAAAAAATAAAGGTCGAGTGTCCTCTTTGATATGTGGGTACTAACCCAGGGAAGCAGGAAAATAGAAATTCAGTGGATTAAACAAAGGAGAATGAAGAAAAGGGAGGGAGATAGGAATAGAAAAGACAGTGGAATGAATCTTACATAACTTTCCTATGTACGTATATGAATATACCACAATGAATCTCACCATCATGTACATCCACAAGACTGGGATCCTAATTAGAATAAGGTATAGTCCATGCTTGTATAAATATATCAAAATAGATTCTATTGTCATGTATAACTAAAAAGAACCAATTAAAAACAAAAGATTTCAAGCCAGTCACAAAAGAATCATATGTATTGTATGATTCCATTTATATGAAGTTTCCAGAATATTAAATCCATAAAAACAAAATGCAGACTAGTGGTTACCTAGGGCTGACATTAGGTAGGGGAAAAATGAAAAATGACTATTAATAAATACAGGAATTCTTTCTGGGTAATGACAATTCTATAATCAATTGTGGAATAGCTGTACAACTCTGGAATATACTAAAACCACTGAACTATACACTTGAAGTGGCTGGATTTTACAGCACATAAAGTATATCAATAGAGCTGTTTAAAAGGAGCAAAGAGCCGGGCATGGTGACACATGCCTATAATCCCAGCAACTCAGAAATCTGAGGAAAGTTCAAAGGCAGCCTCAGCAATTTAGCAAGGCCCTAAGCAACTGAGCATGGCCCTGTCTCAAAATAAAAATGGCTGGGGATGTGGCTCAGTGGTTAAGTATCCCTGGGTCCATTCCTCAATACAATACAATACATACATACATACATATATACAAAGAAAGAAAGAAAGAAAGAAATTGTTTGATGGCTAATGTGTGACTTATATTCTGGGTTTAAACTGCACTACTCCCAAGTCCAATAACTTATGGTTCAATCTCTCAGAGTCCTGCTCAATGACTATGCACTCTGAAGAAAGTCCATTCTATATTCAGGGTTTCAGAAGTTTGATAAGAAAATTTAAAAAAATCGAGGCAAATGATAATGAGAGAGACCAGGGTAGAGTTAGGTCTTACGTTCACAGAACTAGGCTTTTCAAGATCAAGTTGAGTTTTATGGGCCTATGTTAAGAGAAGGTAAAAGATTTCTTAAAATTTTCTAGGCTGATATTTTTTTCTAACTTTGTTCCTATTCCAAAAGGTAAGGAGAAGCTGATTTAAATCCCAAAGCCTACTCCAGGAATAAAGAAAGAAAATCTTACATCATTTCGGTCTTTGGTCAGTCTTTCTTCAAGTTCTTGGGCTAACTGCAAAAGCCACCATTGTACCTAGAAAAGTATTAAAACTTTAATCCTTCATTTAAATACTCAAGGAAGTTGGGGTAAAGCACTTGCCTAGCATGCACAAGGCCCTGGATTCAATCTTCAGCACTGCAAAAATTGAATATTCCAGGTCCATTATAGAACTAGACAGTGGATTTGTTCAGGTTTTTTTTTTTTTTTAATTAATTTATTTTTTTTTTAGTTGTAGACAATACCCTTACTTATTTATGTTTTTGTAGTGCTGAGAATCGAACCCAGGGCCTTGCACGTGCTAGGCAAGCGCTCTACAGCTGAGCCACAATCCCAGCCAGGATTTGTTCAGTTTTAACCCAAATGGAATTGTATACCAATGCCTCCCCCATAAGCAGATTATAGAAATCTTCTCAGTATTCTAAGTTCAAGATTTTCATTTTCTTTTCCTGCTGGCATGGTATCTTAATGAATTTCATGTATGTCCAAGCATTGAAAAAAAGACCTACTTGAGGCACAATATCCTAGGTTTTTCAAGTTTCCATCTACCAAAAAATGAGAAACTCTATTTAATTTGGTCAGTTCCATTTTATTTTTTTTTTAGATGGAAGAAATGGAAACAAGTAATAAATCCCAAGTTAAACTAATATCAAAATAAAACACAAGCTTCCTTTTTCCTTCAGACTTTATAAAGTTCCCATTTAACTGGCTAAAGATTACATAGCAAATAAAATCTACCCACTACCTCTTAAAAGAGGCAATTTTCTATCAAGAATGCCTGCTTACCTGTTCCCGAGTAGCCAGAGCTGTTTTTCCTGGGAAATTCTTGCTACAGCCAATGGTTTTGGGTAGTTGCCTGGGCTTAACTGGATCATGATCAATTCCTCGGCACATGGCATAGAGCCAAGACCTAATAAAACCAATAAAAACATTTAAGATGATAATAAATTATTATTCTTATTAAATCTAAACACCTATATTACCTTTTTATCCTTTTCATAAAAAAAGGAAAAATGTCCAAAATTTAAGTGTACTTGACCTCTCTGAGAGAACTCCAGCTCTCTCAAATTAAGCCCACTGCAATATATGGAGAAGGAGAGCCTCACCTAATTTTTTTGGGGGGTGGGGGAGTACTGGGGATTTAACCCAGGAATGCTTAACCATAGAGCCACATCCCCAGTCCTTTTTACTTTTTTAAAATTTTGAGACAGGGTCTCGCTAAATTGCTTAGGGCTCACTAAATTGTTGAGGCTGGCCTGGAACTTGTAATCTTCCTGCCTCAGCCTCCCAAGCCCCTGGGATTACAGGCGTGCATCACCACACCTGGCCTCATATAGTATTTTAAAGCAAAAATAATCAACTAGTGAAACTGCCTCAAGGAATAAATGTTGAACTAAAGATAGATATAGATTTTACTAAGTGGTTCTATATTTGAACTTAGCATTTCCATAAAGATTAAAAAATATTATGAATCACTTACCCATTCTTCTCTCCAAAATGACTCTGGAGCTGGGATTGAGTGAACTGGGTCAGTTCACCCATGTGTTCTACCCCTAGAATTTCAATGACAGAGGCTCCTAGCTTTCCTCCAAGACTTCGGCTGACAACGAGGGAAAAAAAGAATTTACAGATCAGATCATAAATATCTAGTTAACAGCAAACATAAGAACTCTGATACTGTAAATAGCTCTTCAAAAAGTTCAGAGAAGCTAGGCACCATGGCTCATGCCTTTAATCACAGTGACTCAGGAGGCTGAGGCAGGAGGATCACAAGTTTGCAGCCAGCCTCAGAAACTTAGTGAGAACTTGTCTCAAACAAAAACAAAAACAAATAACTCAGAGAAAATGAGAGCACATATTAATCCTATATACTCTTTTTAAAACATTTTTTGGGGGGTATTGGGGATTAAACTTAGGGGTTTAATCACTGAGCCATATCTCTAGCCCTAGTCCTATACTCTCTTAGTTTTCTAGCATCAGACTAGATGACTCTGAGAATTCAGATACTCTTCCAGGTTCAGATCTAGGGGGAAGATTAATAAGAGCATAAGCAAAAGAGTAGTTATTGATTAGGCAATAAGCCAATTATATATAAAAATTTCAGCTGTCCAAGATCTACTGTCCTAAAAAAAAAAAAAAAATCTACTGCCCTACTTGAGGCTTAAAATTACAAACCCAATCTCTAGTTCCTTTTATTTGATGTGCACCACCATGCCCATATAAAACCATTTTATACTTAAGAATACAGTCAAAATTCTTCATCCTGGCCTTTGAAGTACTCTATAATCTGTCTTAACCTAATTTTTGAGTCTGTTTCCATTACCTGTGTTCATCAATATTAACTAGTTCACATCTTAGTTCACTGAAAATATCTTCCACTTTCTCCCCTCCTTGTGCTCAAATATTCTCCAAATCAGTGCTGTTTTATTTACTATTCTTGGCTGACTCTCCATATTTGCCAACCTGAAAGCAAAATTGCATGCCCTGTTCTTAAATCCTTCTGATTACTTTCTTTTTTGTGTGTGCTCTTCAACAATATTATAAGCCCTTGTCAATAACATATAATTGGTACACACAACTTGGTTATTCTTTTGAATTGTCTTCTTTCATAACTAGTTGGGGGGCAATTCAATAGCTCTGAACACCTTTATTTGATATTAGAGGAGAGAAAACAAGCAAAATTTTTTTTTTGGAACATAGAAATAGACTTGAATAAAAAAAAAATCTAGAAGGAAGTTAAAAATATAGCTAAAATTCAGTTCATCTTTTTTAAAAATAGGACTATCACAGATCATCCAGAATTGAAAATTCATTAAGAAAAAAGTTTCAGAGCCAGGCATGGTGGCACACACCTATAATTCTAGCTACTTGGGAGGCTGAGGCAAAAGAGAATTATAAGTTCAAGGCCAGCCTCAGGTGTCTAAAAATAAAAATTAGAAAAGGGACTGGTAGGGCTGGGGATATAGCTCAGTTGGTAGAGTGCTTGCCTAGCATGCACAAGACCCTGGGTTCAATCCCCATCACCACACAAAAAAAAAAAAAATAGCTCAGTGATACGGCACCCTGGATTTAATCCCCAGTAAAAACAAAAATAAAAGAAAAAGTCTTGGCTGGGGATGTGGCTCAAGCGGTAGCGCGCTCGCCTGGCATGTGCGGGGCGCTAGGTTCGATCCTCAGCACCACATAAAAATAAAATAAAGATGTTATGTCCACCAAAAACTAAAAAATAAATATTAAAAAATTCTCTCTCTCTCTCTTAAAAAAAAAAGAAGTCTCACTATGCTTCAACATTTTAATTGTTTGTGTTGTCTTCCTTCTAATAGCCTGGTACCTATTTTCCCTGCTCAGATACTTTATAGGACTAAAAAATTACAACCAGAGAGCATCTTCACTTGAGTATGTGTGAAATTTAAGGTGTTCCCTAAATACTTACATTTTGCGAATAGGCATTTGGTTGAAGAGCTGTGGGACGGATCCATGTGAGACCACCGTCTGGCGGTTGGGCTTGTTTAGTCCACAGGCCAGTTTTGCCAGGACCTGGAAACATGGAAATCAGGACTGTCAACTCACCTGTGCAGAGTTGGTGGAAATTAAGATACACACATAGAGGCAGTACAGGGGCTGTAAACTAATGATTCCACATTAAGAACAAAATAAAACAAGAAACTCAAGAAATCTCTAAAACTTCATGTTCTACAACATCCTCAGTGAAAAACATGAACCATTATTAACTTCATTATTCTTCCTATATCTCTTCCATTCTCAGTTTTCCCCTAGTCATTTTTCCGCCTCCATCTATTCTTTGAGATCTTCCCACTTTGTGGGGAGGGGTGTGGGAAGGGTTTTAATGGAGATAGATCCCAGGGGTGTTTTACCACTGAGGTACATCCCCAGCCCTTTTTATTTTTTGAGACAAGGTTTTGTAATTTGCTAAGGCTGGCCTCAAACTTGTGATCCTCCTGTCTCAGCCTCATGAGTCATTGGGATTATAGGCAAGCACCACCACATTTGAAAAGTGGTGCTTTAAGAGGTTTAAAACCCAGGGAAGCTACAGAAGAAGCTCAAGTAAGATAGACATATTTCTCAGTGTATCCTTATGAAAATACTAAAATAAAATGTTTTACCCTACCTAATGGTTTTGGTTCCTAAATTTAATACAGATTACCATAATTTAGTATCTGTGATAGAGATTGGGCTCAAATTTATCCTCTAAGAGCAAAAACACTTAAAAATGAAAAAATTTACATTTAAATCCTTGAGAACTCTTCAAATAGTAACACAGTTCAGTGGTATCCTTATGCAAATTATAATTTATATAAAATCATTCTTTAACTGCATTACAGAAATTATTTAGGAACTTCTATTAGGCAACATTTAGTCTGGTTTAAATTACATTGAAAATACTGCCCCCCACACATACCTCCATCTAACCAGAAAAACAAAAAATAATTCTGGGCAGTTTAACAACTATCCTCCCATTAGAGGTTGGGGAGAGAGCAGCAACCAGGGATATCAACCACTGCTCAACTATTGAGTCTTGGTCAGAAGGGTATGAAAGTCTATGCTCTCACTATACTTTACTCATAGTTCATCAGAAAATTAGTTATTCGGCCCCTGGATTATTGAGAATTGCCTGTGTTCCCTAAATTAAAATAGTGGTCCAAATTAATAAAATTTTACTATTGGATTTATCTTATCATTCCTATTATAAAAGGAGGGATAGGCAAAAGCATAACATTCCCAAGCAACTCCCCCAAGAAAATGAGATAATAGAAAAATGTTTGACAAGTGAAAAATAAAATAGGTTAATACATAAAAGTTCAAGACTAGCCTCCTCCCTTCCAAAGATAGCTCAGTCATTAAGAAACCACTTTAGAAATAATTATATAAGTAAGCATTTTTCTATAATTTTTTACCCTGCTTTAATTAAACATAAATGCAATGTAAATTACCATTAAAATATACTTAATATACTTTGATTTGGGTCTCAAAAAGAATTTTACATAAAAACTCATTCCAAAGTATATGGGTAAGAATTTAAATATCCCACTCATATCTATCCTGGCTGTATTCAACTGAAGATATTGAGCTCAGGCAGCTGAGGCAGGAGGATCTCAAGTTTGAGGCCAGCCTCAACAACATAAGCAAGGCCCTAAGTAATTTAGTGAGACCCTGTCCTAAAAAACAAAAAATAAGAAGGGTTAGGGATATAACTCACTCAGTGGTAAAGGACTTCTGGGTTTAATCCCCAGTACCAAATAAATAGTTTTTCTTTGAAATCTGATTCACTTTCACCTTATTGTGTGAAATTCCAGCTGAGCACTGAAAACCAGTTTGCATTTCTATGGCTGCTCTCATTTCCTCCACAATCACTGCCCCCACAGTGAGCTGTAGGTCTGGAGATGTGGTGTCATCAATCTGAAGAGAATCCAGCCACTGAAGTAAGCCTTGTTTTCGTATTTCCTCTGGGGGGAAAAAAATGAAGTCACTTTTAGATATTTTGTTTTTATGTGTGTATGATACTATTGAACCCAGGGCTTTTGCATGCAAGGCAAGCACTCTACAAACTGAGTCCCCACCCCTCCCCTTTTTATTTTTTTGAGAATGTTGCCACATTGTCAAGGCTAGCCTCTAACTTGCAATCCTCTTGCCTTAGCCTCTTGCATAGCTGGGATTACAGGAATATGCCACAGTTCCCAGCCTACATTTAGACAATTAAAAAATAATAAAAAATGCTATTTTCAGTCATGGGCAATTATAACATTCAGTCAATAGACTATACACATACCATATATCCTATATACAATCTAGGTTTTGTTGTTGTTAGGAACTTGGAATTGAACCCAGAAGCATGCTTTGTCACTGAGCTATATCCCCAGCCCTTTCTATTTTTTATTTTGAGACAGAGCCTTGCTAAGTTGCTGAGGCAGGTCTCAAACTTACCATCTCCCTACCTCAGCCTCCAGAGTTGCTGGGATTACAGGTGTGTGCCACTGTGCTGAGCCCTCTTAATTTTTTTCAGACAGGGTCTAAGTTGTTGAGACTAGCCTCAAACTTGTGATCTTCCTGCTTCAGCCTCCTAAGTTGCTGGGATCATAGGTGTGCACTATTAAGCATGGCTACAATCTAGGTTTGTATAAGTACATCCTATGATGTTTAAACAACAATGATATCACTCAACCATGCATTTCTCTGAACATATCCACGTCCTGAAGCAATATGTAACTATTTTCAATTACAGTATTTCATGCAGAAATGCTTGGATTTCAGATAATTTATATATATGTAAGGTTTTCTTACGACATGTCAGCAAAGTGAAAGGAGTAGTCATTTGTAGGAGGCAGCCATTCTGAATGATTCGCATTCTCCTTCCCTGAGCCGAGAGGCTTTGACTGTCACTACATACTACATAGTGACATTGCCCAGGTCCCGGAGGTTGAGGATGCGTCTTCAGACGTAGGCGTGTCACCCCATAGATTGAGCTATGCTCACCTGTTCCTTTGTGATACTACCCCTTTGCCCTGTTTGAGATAGAATGTTCCATGGAAACGCCCTTAGTGTGTCCCCTTCTCTTGCTCTGCCTTTGGGTGTAGCCTTCCTAGATGTCAGTCAACCTGCTGACAGCAGACATCACGAAGCTAGACTCGACCTCCTGAAACCTGACCCCTGGCCTCATTTGAATGGCTTCTCCTCAATAAAAGAGTTCAGGTGCTGGCCCTCTCTCTTTCAGTGGGCCTTAAGGTCCGAGAAGCTGTAACAGGACCCCAGAGAAAAAGGTATCTCTGTCTCTTGTCTGATTATTTCGTACAGCCCAGTTCACTTGGAGTGACCCTGAATGTTTTAGTTGCGAAGAATGCGACAATCATTAATGGCTATCTTTCAACATGCTCATCTTCCTCATCTCTCTATATGTGAACATTTACTGCTGCAAGATACTTTTTTTTATATATTTTAATTTTTTAGTTGTAGATGGACACAATACCTTTATTTCATTTATTTATTTTTATGTGGTGCTGAGGACCAACCCAGTGTCTCGCACATGCTAGGCAAGTGCTCCACCACTAAGCTACAATCACAGCCCCTCTAAGATACTTTTTTTTCCTTTAAATGTGGTACTGGGGATCAAACACAGGGTTTTGTACATGCTAAGCTTGCACTCTTATCACTGGGCTATACTTCTAGCCCCTCCAAGTACTTTAAATATATTTTCTTGCCTTGTTCCTACCTTATTACTGCCTTCTTAAACCAGTAAGTCCATATTTAGTATGTCTCTAGTTCTTTCATGCCTGTGAATTATGAATAGTTGTAAATTGGATTGTAAGATATTTCCCATAATCAAGAATACTGAACTACATTCTCTTCTTTGTACACACATTTCCTTTTGGTAAACTCGTAACTGTCTTATGGTTCAACTTGCTTATGAGTACATGCATATCTTTCTATTGCAAACACGCATAAATTCTAATCCCTTATCTCTGCCTCCCTACAGAATAACTTCTTGAAATTTTTATTATACAGAACTTCAAACTAAACTAAAAGCAAACTTTTTTTTTTTTTTTTTTTTTGGCAGTGCTGGGAATTGAACCCAGGGCCTTGTGCGTGCAAGTCAAGCACACTACCAACTGAGCTATATTCCCAGCCCTAAAAGCAAACTTATCAGGTATAGTAGCACGTACTGTAATCCCAGGTATGTGGAAGGCTGAGGTAGGAAGATGAAAAGTTCAAGGCAAGCCTGGGCAGACCATGTCTCAAATAAAAATTTTTAAAGGGCTGGAGACATAACTTGTGAAGACCTGGATTCACACCCAAGTACACCCTCTCCCCCCACACACAAAAAAGAAAACCTAAAAATCTATATCTTCCACCTCAGAGATTCTTCCAACCAACCACCCATTTCTAATATAGGGTTAAAATACAAATATTGGCTCCTTTTTATTGTTTCCCATTATGAAGCCATCCAGGCCTACTTAAAAATCTCGTATATCCACTGCAACTCACACTATTTGATTCAGATTTCTTTTTTATATTTTCCTTGTTGGTATTATGGATTGAACCTGGGGCCTTTCATACACTTACCAGATCCTCTACCTTAATTTACACCCACAGCCACACCCCCTTTTAAAATTTTTTGAGACAGGGTCTGGCTAAGATACCCAGGCTGGCCTTGAATTTGATTCTCCTGCCTCAGCCTCCCAAGTAGTTGTGATTTCTCATATCTTAAAACATACAACCTCTGGAACATTCACTCATCATTGTAACTCCAAGAGCTTTTTCTACGGAAATCTGTACTGTTTCTTCAAGTAATAACAGATTTCCTTACAGTTCCCCCAACAAGTTCACTTGCCACAGATTTGTGCCTAGTTTCCTTTTGATTAATGTTCAACATTCAAAGGTTTTAATGAAAAGAGCTCTTCTGAATAAAAATTATATTACAAAATAGTAGTTCAAAACTATTACAGGGCTGGGGTTGTGGCTCAGCGGTAGAGCGCACACCTAGCATGTGCAAGGCCCTAGGTTCGATCCTCAGCACCACATAAAAATAAATAAAGGTTAAAAAAAGTAAAAAACAAACATACAAACTATGCTACAAATGAAGGGTATTGCGACTATAGCTATTATCAAAAGTACTACGCTGGGGCTGTGGCTCAGTGGTAGAGCACTTGCCTTGCATGTGAGAGGTACTGGATTCGATCCTTAGAGCCACATAAAAATAAATAAATATATTTACCAACTACAACTTAAAAAGATACAGACACCCCTGAAAAGCCTCCTGGTACAGAATTCTTTGCCCTGGGAAATCCAACTGAATTCTACTTGCATCATCTGACTAAATAAAATAAAATATTCCACTGTTATGCAAATTCTTAGATCTAGAATCTAAAATTATCATAGTCTAATGTACCACAAACTTTGAGTTTTTATTGTCCTAATTTTATTCTAGTCTAAGAAAACATTTTTAACTTTTATGTGTACTTTATTAAAGCACTTCATACAGAGTATTTCTCAAGTTTTTGTTAGATGAGGTAAATAAAGATGAACTTATTTTAAAAAATCACTTGCGGGGTGGGGGGCGCTGGGGTTGTGGCTCAGTGGTAGAGTGCTCGCCTAATGCACACGAGACCATGGGTTTGATCCTCAGCACCACATAAAAATAAATTAAAAGATAAAGGTATTGTGTCCAACTACAACTAAAAAATAAATATTTAAAAAAAAATCACTTAGAGGCTGGAGATATAGTTCAGTTGGTAGAGTATTTTGCCTTGCATGCACAAGGCCCTGGGTTCAATCCCTAGCACCACCAAAAAAAAAAAAAAAAATCATTTGGGGCTGGGGCTCAGTGGTAAAACACTTGCCTAGCACGTGTGAGGCACTGGGTTTGATGCTCAGCACCACATAAAGGTATTGTGTCCATCTACAACTAAAACAATAAATTATATGTGTATATATATATATATATATATATATATATATATATATATATATATATAATTTATCATGGGGCTGGGGTTGTGGCTCAGTGGTAAAGTGCTCGCCTAGCACATGTGAGACCCTGGGTTCAATCCTCAGCACCACATAAAAATAAATAAATAAAATAAAGGTATTATATGTCAAACTATAACTAAAAAAATAAATATTAAAAAAAAATCATTTATCAGCTGGGCATGGTGGCATATACCTGTAATTCCAGTGACTCGGAAGGCTGAGGCAGGAGGATTGCAAGTCCAAGGCCAGCCTCAGAAACTTAGTGAGGCCCTAAGCAACTTAGCAAAACCCTGTCTCAAAATAAAAAATAAAAAGGATTGGGGATGTGGCTCAGGGATTAAGCAACACTGGGTTCAATCCCCAGTACCAAAAAAAAAAAAAAAAAAAAAATCCAAAAACTTTTATCATTTCCTTACACATCAACAGCCAAGTAGAAAATATAATAGAAAAAATATAAAATTGCAATAGCAGTAAAAACTTTCAGTCATCTAGGAATATAACAAATGAATGCACAAGACATTTATAGAAGAGTTAAGCCTTAGTAAAGATATAATAGATATTCATAATAATAAAAGAATCTTGATCCCTACTCACACTATATGCACACCTAAATGTGAAAGTTAACACAATAAAGCATCTAAATAAACTGAAGAGTATCTTGAGATAGATAGTTGCTCAAGATATTCTTTGTGGCAACATAAATGCCTGGAGGACATTATGTTAAGTGAACTAAGTAGTTACAAAAAGACAAATATCACATGTTGTTAGTAATATGTAAATGCTAAAAAGAAGTGGAAAGATATTAAGAAGTAGAAAGCAGAATAGTGGTTACCAGAGACTCAGAAGAGTATAGAAGAAATGCATGGAGAAAGGACAGTTAATGGGTCCAGGATACAGTTGGTTGGAAAGAATAACTTCAACATTCTATAGCACAGTAACATAACTATATAATTGATTTTATATTTCAAAATAGCTAGCGAATGTTCCTGAAACAAAACTGATAAACGATTGAAGTAAAATATATGCCAATTATCCTGGCCTGATTATTATAAAATGTATAACTTTACTGAAATGTTATACTAGGGTTTGACCCCAGCACCATACAATATAAAAAAATAAATAAAAACTTATCTAAAAATGTAAATTCAATAAAGATGTTTTGAGGAGTTCAACTTGCGTATTTTAAAATTCATTCTGAACAATAGTGGCATAAATAGCTAAGTTAATTTTGAAAATCAAAGCAGAGAGAATTCTTATCAAATATTAAGACATACTATTAGACATCAGTAATAAAAATAAATATGTTCCTGGTGCAGCAGCATACAAGCTAATGAAATACTTCAGAATAAGGCTCAATCATATATAGAAAGTTAATAATGAATTGAGAAATAAATGTTGGAAAAACTTGCTTACTCTAAGAAGAATTAAGGAGTCTCCCATCTTAAAAAAGTTAAACTAAAAATAACTATAAGGCAAACAGAAGAAAAAGCAGAGAAAGTCTTTGTAAAATTCTGATAGAAATGATTTCTGAAATGAGATTCAAAATGCATAAATCATAACATGAAGAACTGACAGACTTAAAAATTTGTTTTAACAAAGTATAGCATAAATAAAATTAATACATGGATGACAAACTTGGTAGAGGATATGTGCAATGTAAAAAATGGGCAAGAGACTAATAACTAGGATATACAAGGACCTCTTGCAAATCGAAAACTAAATAAATGGCAGGAAATTCAATTAAAAAAAGCAAACAAATCACAAAATTAGCAACTCAATTGACTAACAAGTACATGAAGAGATGCTCAAAACTCAATTAGTAATCAGAGAAGTGTTTATTAAAGCAAAACAAAATACACAAAATAGCACTTTATAGTTACCACTTTAGCAAATATTTTTAAACATTACTGGTAACAATATGAAGGAAACAAAACAATATGAGTTATTGGGGACAATATGAGGGAAACAGGACTCTTGTAATGTGCCAAGGGGAATGTAAACTGTGACAGTGATGCTGGGCAGTATTCTGGCAGTACTTGGTGAAACTAGGTTTATGTGTATACCCTATGATTTCTTAGTCCACTCCTGCAAACATTCCCCAGAGAAACTTTTACATAGGTCTAAAGAGGGTAAGGACATTCATTATACTAACATTAGGGTCTCTGGAACAACCAATGAATTATCACTAGAGAGAGGGGTCTGTAAACATGGTGGATCCATACCATGGATTATGCTGCAGGTAAAAGCCACCAATTACCTATAAATATAGCCATATGAATAACGTTAATAAAATCACCACTGAAAGAAAAAAATTTTTTAAAATGAAATCTATAATAGTACAATATCATCTTGTAATTAAAAAGCACATACATAAAATGATACTGTATAATTTATTAAGGTATACACATATCTAAGATGTATCAAATACATCACTGGGGTGGGAACAGGGTAAACACTACAAAGGAGAAAAGTAGTAAAGTAAAACAAGAACAACATTGCACAGTCCACCACTGATGATAAAGTGATAGAAATTGATTAGAAGTTTGAATGGCTCAACTTCCTATACTTGGAGGTCTCTCCTAAAAGAGCTCACCTTGACTAGGTACGGTGGTGTACACCTATAATTCCAGCAATCTGAGAGGCTGAGGCAAGAGGATCCCAAGTTCAAAGTCAGCCTCAGCAACTTAGTGAGACCGTGTCTCAAAATAAAATAAAAAAGGGCTGGGTAGGTAGTTCAATGGTAAAGTACTCTTGGGTTCAATCCTCAGTAACAAGGAAGGGGCAAAACAAAACAAAAACTCACCCTGCTTACAAATGAAGAAACCAAGAAACTAAGTTATAATAATAAAAATTAACTTGAAGATGAAGGAAGTGCTCAGTCAGCCTTCTACCTTCTATTAGTAACACTAACCCATCCTAGTTGTATCTAAGGAAGTATTTATTTTCATGTAATTTTCCAGCGTCTCAACACGCATATACCTGGAAAGATAGGAGAATTTGTATATCCTTCCACACGAGTCCTTGTAATTCATTCAGGATATATTTGATTTCCTTTCAATCATTCCAAGAAGAATCAGCATGACCAAGCAAAGCAGGTTCCAAAGGCAGGAAGCAGAAGCAATAATGATGCTATGGAAGTACCTTTCTGAACAGTCTCTTTAGTTGTTGTAAGGCCTTGGGGCAAACCTTCAATGTAAGTGGTTGGCAACAAATCAGCTGAGATAGGATGACCTTGTAGCTTTTGTAGTTTCTCTTGTACAGCACTGGTCAGATCTACATAAGCTTCATCAATGCTAGCACGTTCAATCACAGCAAAACGAGACATTACCTCCATCACTTCAACACTGGCTTCCCGGTACCTAAAAAGTGTAAGGATCATATGTGTAGACAATAAATAGAGGTGGCCTGGAGACTGTCAGGGCCCATCCTCTCCCTCTCAAAATGAATATAATAAAGAGACAACTGGCTTAACAAAGAATAAACAGTAACCCAACTAAATGGGGTCAATGGCAGGCGCATGACAGAAGAAAAGAAAAAGAAGAACCATGGAGGTAAACATTTTTTTGTGCAAACCAAGATAGAAAGCACAAACTTAGGGCTGGGGTTGTGGCTCAGTGGTAAAGAACTTGCCTAGCATGTGTGAGGCACTAGGTTCAATCCTTAGCACCACATAAAAGTAAATAAATCAAATAAAGGTATTATGTCCATCTACAACTAAATATATATGTATATATGTATGTATATATATATATAAGCATGTACTTTACTTTTCTACATTACAAGGATCTCTCTAAAAAGGAAAAAAATGGCTCACAGTAGAAAATATTTTACTACAATCATCTATTTCTTTTATTATTTTCACATATTTCATGAAGTCTTTTGCTTCTAATTCTGTCTTCAAATAAGAGGTAACCTACAGGGAAAATTAAACTGAACATACTAGAGTAGCTGGTCCTTCTTAGGATAGCATTTCTAACTAAAAATTAAATAAACTAACATACAGACTTTTATTTCAGTCAATGCAGTTGCTCATCACTATACACACATTCTAATAAAATCACTTCTGCAAATACTAACATTCAAATTATCAAGTTGAAGGTAAGTGCCTTGAATCTGGTGATGCATCTGGGAGACAGACAACCTTCCAAAGGGGATACCAAATTCATCATATATCTTCTATTTAAACCATAAGCAGCTGGGTATAGTGGAACACACTTGTAATCCCAGCAACTCAAGAGGTTGAGGCTGGAGAATTGCAAGTTCAAGGCCAGCCTCAGAAACTCAGCAAGACCCTGTCTCTAAGAAAGGAGCAGGCACAGTGGTGAATGCCTGTAATCCCAGTAACTCAGGAGGCTGAGGCACAAAACATCTCAGTGAGACCTTGTCTCTAAGTAAAATACAAAATAAAGCTGGGGATGTGGTTCAGTGGTCAGTGTCCCTGAGTTCAATTCCCTGGTAACTACCCCACCACAAAAAAAGAAAGGACTGGGGAATATGGGGATATTGCTCAATGGTTCAATCCCCAGTACTAAAAGGAAAAAAAATATACATCATAAAGGCTGGGGGAATATAATTAAGCAGTAGAACACTCTTGGGTTTAATCTCCAGTACCACACAACAAATCAAAATATTTTTAAAATTTCAGTTGTTATTAACTCTCTGATCTGTACAGATCTTTCTCCTAAACTTTTAAATTGGCCATTTTTCATTACTTGATAAATTTCAAAAGTAAATGATCACATTTAAATTTGGTAGAATGTGGCTTTTCCAAATTACACTTTGAAGTCAACAATACATATTTCAAGGAAATTACACTTTGTACATCAGCATAAAATTCTATTCAATGTACTTTAATAGCTTTAGCTGAATTAATTCTGCTGTAGTGTTAAAGTACTACTCTTCAATCAAATCATTCTTCTTTTCAGGCAATAACTCTGATGTGAATGTGGTGGGGTTAGCAGGCGATTCTACCTTCAGACTTCTAATTCATAGGTGAATTCAGAATATGTCAGGTTCCAAGTCAGAGTATGATCCCTATCTATATCATGTTGTACAATAACTATAATATACTGCGAGAATGTGGTTACTAAAACTTGAAATAATAGATGTGAACCCTCAATCTTCTACTTATGTATGTGAACTTAAATTATTTAACTTCTCTAAACCTGATCCCTTACCTATCAACACAAAGTAATACTAGTGCCTACCTTATAAATGAAATTTAAAAGAGATTTCACCTATAAAGAACTTAACGCAGTGCCTGGAATATGAAAAATATTCAATATCTATTAGTTATTAAGATTATTATAATAGTTGGGGCTTGGGCCTAACCCTCATACACGTCCCTTGTTTAGGCTAAAGGTCTAAACTCTGGGAAAGATAGCTCAATTAAAAAACAAGATAGTGGGACTAGGGCTGTGGCTCAGTGGTACTGCATTTGCCTGGCATGTGTGAAGCACTGGGTTCGGGTCTCAGCACATGTAAATAAATAAAAGATCTATCAACAACTAAAATATGTGTATATATATATATATATATATATATATATATATCAACAACAAGATAGTAGTCTCCTTTCAGTTGGTTTTCTGGCAAGTAATAATCATAAAAAAAACTCAACAATTCTAGAAATTGCACTAAAATATCAAGTCTGACCCAGCCTTTCTTGGAAAAGCTATTAGGTTTATAGGCCTGCTAATCACTTCAAACACTTTGGACTTTTGGCCAATAATATAGGAATTGGTAGTAAGTTTTAATTATAATAACCAGTTTTTAAATAATTAAAGGAATGAAATGGGTATCAAAAGACAGCAACTATTTTAAGTAATAATGGTTCTGACCTATTAATAATATACAATATCAAAATCTATTTTCATTCAGAGACAAGATTCTAACCACAGGAAACTTTTTCAGATGTTATTTACACAAAACAAATTTAAACACAAGTTGGGTGCAGTGGCTCACATCCATAATCTCAGAGATTTGGAAACCTGAGGCAGAAAGATCACAAGTTTGAGGCCAGCCTAAAGAACTTAGGGAGACTCTGTCTCAAAAAATAAAAAGGGCTGGGGATATAGCTCATGGTACAGTGCCACTGGGTTCAATCTACAGTACAGGGTGCGGGGAGGGGGGACACACACCAGTTCTAACCATCCTGAAATATTATTTCCAATTTCTCTATGTCCCTTTAAACAACCTTTTTTCTTACTTGGTAAGGTTAGCTTTCCCACGGGACTCACGAACTTGTGCCAGTAGAAGATCTGGACATAACTTCTTAGCATCATCTGCCCACATGTTTCTAGTAACCCCAAATGCACGAGCTTCATAACTCACTGCAATTATTCTAAGGGTAAAAAAAAAAAAAAAAAAAAAAGAGGAAACAAAAAAAAAATTATATGATCACAAGCAAAAACAATGACACTTAACAGGAATACACTATGAATACATAAAATTAGAAGAAATGTTTTGATTACAGGTGCCACCACTCATTCACCAAACATAGCAGTTCAGAAACCTCAAAAATAAGACCTATCACAGCACTGTTATATGTCTATAGATTAAAAACCAGTAACAAGGGGCTGGGGCTGAGGCTGAGCAGTACATAAAAAATAATAAGTGAAATAAAGGTATTGTATCCAACTACAATTAAAAAAATAAATATTTTTAAAAAAATAGTTAACAAGGGGCTGGGGTTGTGGCTCAGTGGTTGAGCGCTCACCTAGCATGTACAAGATGCTGGGTTCGATCCTCAGCACCACATAAAAATAAACAAATAAAATAATTGTATTGTGTCCAACTACAACTAAAAAAAAATTAAAAAAAGAAAAAGAAAAAAGTAACAATGATACATACCCACCACCTTTCCATGATTTGTACTGTACGACTGCACAGGGTTTATTCCTTAAATGAGGATTTTGTCGCTGCTCCACTTGAACAAAAAAACAGTCCATGTCCACCAGAGCAACCACTCGATCCTGTCCTGTAGTCATTTTTTTCTGTAAGACAACGATTTATGAACAGAAAGATGTCTAAAATGTCAGGGCAAACTATATTTCCATTCCTTTATTGGTAAGTTACCATCCATCTACCTACATGTTTAGTATCATCTGCCCATGTTTCTAGTGACCCCAAATGCATAAGCTTCATAAGTCACTACAGTTATTCTAAGAAAAAAAAACAGGGAAAACTATTTCATGATCACAAGCAAGAATGATTAAAAATTTAATAGGAATAGGCACAGGAGGCATGGGAATTAGAAAAAAGGAAATGCATTTTCATATATTGCTGGCATGAGAATAAATTAGTACAATTTTATGAAAGTAATAGTAAAAGCTTTAAAAACACTCTTCTTCAAAACATTTCACTGAACATTTCACCGAGACACAAATAGCCAATAGATGCATAAAAATGGCCTTAGCATCCTTAGTCCTGGGGAAATGCAAATTAAAACCATAGTATATATCACTTAAGAAAAAAGGCAACAGTGATCTAGTTGACAGACAGATCTGAAGTGTAAGTTTAGGGAAAAGAAAAGGAGACCATGTATATATAGCCAGTCCTCAATATCTTGAGTGTCCCACATCAGCCAATACTCTGGGGAAAAAAATGTGTAGTGAACATGTACAAACTTTATTCCTATAATTCTCTAAGCATTATGGTACAATACTTACATTGTGTTAGGGATTATAAGGAATCTAGAGATGATTTAAAGTATTTGGGAGGGATTCGGGGTGTTGCTCAGTGGTAAGAGCATTTGCCTAGTATTCTCCAGACCATGGGTCCAATCTCTAGCATCAGTAGATTTTGGTATCCTGGCCAAGGAATGGAGAGGGAGCATGTCTTGGAATCAATCCTCTTGTGGATACTGAGGGACAACTGTATAACATCATAGTGTTCGTGTAAATTTTTAAAGTTTTTATTTCAAAATACTTTTAGACTTACAGAAATGTGCAAAAATAGTAGGGTTCTTCCACACTGTTTCCCCTAGTGTCAACATTTTACTTAGCACTATTATCAAAATTAAAAAACGAACACTACTTAACCACCAACTCAGCTGAACACAGTGGCACACACCTGTAATACCAGCTACTGGGAAGGCTGAGGTAGGAGGATCACAAATTGGAGGCCAGCCTAGACAATTTAGTGAGGCCCTGTCTCAAAATGAAAAGTAAAAACACTAACTCAACTACGTACTTATTTGGATTTCACTGGTGTTTCTACCAATGTCTTTTTGTTGTTGTTGTTGTTCCAGGATGCAATATAGATCTTACAGTGCATTTAGCTGGCTAGTTGTTTTGAGAATGTCAATTTGTGTTTGTCTAACATTTTCTCATGATTGAGATTATGCATTTTTGGCAAGAATATCAAAAAGCGATGATCTTTTCTCAGTGCATCACATGGAAGAGAGGTTATGCTGTCAATATATCTTCTTACTGGTGATGTTAACCATGATAAGATGGTGTACATCAAGTTTCTCCTGTAAAGTTACTATTTTTCCTTTTGTAACTAATAACTATCTTGGAAGAAGATACTTTGATACCATGTAAATATTCTATTTTTCTTTACACTTTCAACCACTGAGCAAACTATCAGTGGATCCCACCTACGACAATTACTTTGTAGTGTTCTAATGATGATTTTTCTATTCATGCAAATTTTTGACCACACTTCATGGACAGACAAAGGTATGAGTAGTAGAAAAATAACTTTACATATTTAAGAGTGGACATTAGGAGCTGGGGTTGTGGCTCAGTGGTAGAGCACTTGCCTAGCATGTGTGAGGCACTGGGTTCAATTATCAGCACCACATATAAACAAGTAAAGGACCATCAATAACTAATAAAAAAAATTTTTTTTAAAAAAGAGTGAATACTAATGTTATTTAACTGTTTATTTAATGTTGTTAGCAATATTAGTAGAAGGAACATCATCTGCAGCTCCCAAATTTTGCTTATATTGGAATCACCTGGGAACCTTTTAAATATTCTCAAATCTGACACTCTTGACTACTAGACATCCTAATGTAATTAGTATAGATACGATTTAGGAATCATGATTTTTAAAAGCCCTACAGATAATTCTAATATACAGCAGAGCTGGGAACAAATAGTCTAATGTAAATAAGGTACTTACGGAAACACCAGAAAAGCATGATTTAAATATAAGAAACAGGTTATACAGTTGAGTAAGCACCCAACTGTATTCTAAAAAGGTTTTTAAAAATTAACAATGAATCACGTGAATAGAGAGCCTACAGAATGGGACAAAATCTTTACCACATGCACCTCGGATAGAGCATTAATCTCTAAGATATATAAAGAACTCAAAAAACACAAAAAAACAAGTAACCCAATCAAAAAATGGGCAAAAGAACTCAATACACATTTCAAAGAATGCAATCGATCAACAAATACATGAAAAATTGTTCAACATCTTTAGCAATTAGAGAAATGCGAATCAAAACTCCTCTAAGATTTCATCTCATCCCAGTCAGAATGGCAATTGTCAAGAACACAAGTAACAATAAATGTTGACAAGGATGTAGGAGAAAAGGTACATTCATACATTGCTGGTGGGACTGCAAAATGGTGCAACCCATTATGGAAAGAAGCATGGAGATGCCTCAAAAAAACTTGGAATGGAACCAAGATTTGACCCAGCTATCTCCCTCCCAGGTTTATACCCAAAGGACTTAAAATCAGCATATTACAGCAATTCAGCCACATCACTGTATATAGCAGCTCAATTCACAATAGCAAAACTATGGAACCAATCTATGTGTGCTTCAACAGATGAATGGATGAAGAAAAATGTGAGATTCATATATACATGGAATATTACTCAGCCTTAAAGAAGAATAAATTTAGGCCATTTGCCAGTAAATGGATGGAGCTGGAGAATATCATGCTTAGCAAAATAAGCCAATCCAAACAAAGACTGAATGTTTTCTCTGATATGGGATGCTAATTCACAATAAGGGGTAGGGGGGCTGGGGAAGAATAGAGTTACTTTAGATTAGGTAGAGGAGAGTGAAGGGAGGGAGGGGGTATGGAGGTAGGAAGGATAGTAGAATGAGTCAGACTTGTTACCCTATGTGTATTTATAACTATATCACAAGTGGGCTTCTACATCACATACAACCAGAAGAATGAGAAATTATATTGCATCTACATATGATGTATCAAAGCGCATTCTACTGACATGTATAACTAATTAGAATAAAAAAAAATTAATCTTCACCTTGAAAAAAGGTACCATGCAACTACAAAACTGGATGGCTAGTGGAAAGAAAACACATATTTAAGAAAATCAGAATATTCAAGGAATAACTTATAAATTCCAATCTACCACTCGCCTAAAACAGACAGAATGTGATAGTTTAAACATTCATAAGTTAAAAACCACAACATGCCAGAAATTCCTTTCTTCTGAAGTGGCTTTTCTGCAGTACTAAAACAGATAACGCCAGAAAATAGTGAATGCATTGTCACAAAGGACAACGACTATGCAGGGTAAGCACCATATTAAATACAAATACCAAAAGTGAAAGAAGAAGCAGTGATTTAAAGGGCAGCAAACATTTGCCAAGCACAAAAATCACACACACAAAAATATTCAGACTGACAGATAATAAATCAATAGAGGTTTCTAATTTACGTATTTACTGGAAAAAAGCAAGAGTTTTGCAGAGATGGAAATGAACACAATTCTAGCAAAACCCTGCTTTCAGATAAGGATTATACTACTTTGAAATAAGATACAGCATTCGGCAAATTACCAAACTGCAGGAATATTCAATCTTTTACTGTCTTGATTTATCCCAATCTACATAAAACAAGTTTGTAGCTGATCGAGTAGTAACACACCCAGGAAAAGAGCTCAAATGAAGGGGAAGATTTAAGAGGCATACGGGAAAGTATCATTTTTTTCCTACAAAAAAATCTCCTTAGAGGCAATCTCGCGGTCTTTTCTCTCAGTTGGCATGTTTTCTTTTTCACATAATTTCAGGGCAATGAGTCATCAGTCAAATCATAAAACCAATAGCCAAAGCAATGTGAAAAATCTGAACATCGACACCGCACGGTTCTAAATATTCTTACCAAGGCGACACCTGGCAAAACTGCCAACGGGTCGGGCGCGGAGAAACACGCCTATAATCCCAGCAGTTCGGGAGGCTGAGACAGAATCGCGACTTCAAAGCCAGCCTCAGTAATGGCGAGGTGCTAAGCAGCTCAGTACCTGTCTCTAAATAAAATATAAAATAGGGCTGGGGATGTGGCTCAGTGGTCGAGTACAATGAGTTCAATCCCCGGTATCAAAAAAAAAAAAAAAACTTGCCAACGGAAGCCGCGGTTGGGGGAGATCAGTGTCCGCTGGATGGAAAACGAAGAGGTCTTGAGCAGGCCAGTAGGTTTCGCGATTTATTCCCCGTGACGATGAAGAATAGGAGCAGAAATCCCAAAGAATCTCCCAAAGGGCTTCGCGCTAGTCTGTTAACCCAGCCGACTGAAGTCCTACAGCGCGCGCGACTCAAGGGACCGTTGAGGCGCCTGCGCAGCCGGGTCCTTCCGTCTCTCGCTCCACCCCCCAGGAGCAACCGTCACAAGAGAGCCGCCACTTCCGTGGGCGCGTGCGCAGTGGCAGATCGGGCGCGTGCGCAGCGCCTGGTCCTCCCCGGCTGTACATTCTGCTGCTCACGTTCCTCCTCCCGCTTCCCACCCTCCCAACCCGCCGCGGCCCGGTTCCAACGTGTGGTCCCCAGAAGGGAGCGGTCCGTGCCTCGTGCTCCCGGGACGGCCGTAGTGTGCGCTCGCGGCGCGTGGCGTTAGCCATGGCGATGGATCAAGTGAACGCTCTGTGCGAGCAGCTGGTGAAAGCGGTGACCGTCATGATGGACCCCAGCTCCACCCAGCGCTACCGGCTGGAAGCCCTCAAGGTAGCTGGGGTCCCAGCGTCCTGGGCCCGCCCTGAGACCCTCCCCTAGACTGGCCGCCCCGGTGCGGCCCCTAAATCAGGTCGTTTCCCGCCCACGAGGCCTCTGGAACTCCCTTCCAACTCCCGAGGGCCTTCCCCTCGCGGCCCAGCTCAGGTCTTCCACCCCCGCTTCTGCACTCGCGCGCTTGCCCTGCGCCCCGGACTCTCTAGTCGCTTCTTATCCCAGCCTCCACGACTCACTGTCCTTGTCTTCTTCCTTCCTCACTTTTTACTCTTGATGCACCAGGACTCCTTCGCCACGGACTACCCTCATTTTCAACCTTCAATCCCCATATCCCTGGCTTTCCCGAGGCGCACGTGCAGATTCCGCCCCCACCCACCTTCAATCTTTATGGTCTTCCTGCTAACCCGCTCACCTGACCTTTCCTAATCGACCGCCAGTCTCCCCGAAAGCCCTTTACTTATATTAGAGCCTTACATTTATCTCACTGTCTCATCTGTGTTGGGCATTTCTGGTCTTATTCTCACAGTCCTCCCATGTTTTCTAGTGTGTGGTATTCATAGGCTGTTTTGCGCAAAGATGAACTTCTACCACTTGCTTTGCATTTTTACAAGGCCTTTTTGGTTTCCTGAAAGCAGTTTTCTTGAGATCCGGATGCTCTGCTCAGGAGTCTGATTCAAGTGTTGCAATTTGGAAGCTGACACAAATGGTGATGCTAATACAATAGAGCTCCATTAAACAATGTATGTAAGCTGTGAGAAATGACTGTTTAGGAGAAAGTACTCATACATGTTTTAGATCATATAACTTCACAGAATGAGCGCCCCTTGGAGGAAACTTTACTATATGTATGCCACAGGGTTTGGAATCAGAATTATTTGAGTTTTGTTTTGTATTAGGAAATATTTTAATAGACATAAAATTAGAATACTATAGTGATCTTTATGTGCCTATCATCTAATTCAGCTGGGATATGGATTTTGACACCCTTCTCTTTATACCTCCCTCCACCCCAAGTTTTTAAAGCAAATTCTAGAAATTGTCGTTCTGTCCCTAAGAGTGTATCTCTTAACAATTTTTTATCCCTTTAGGTAGTTTCTTTTCCGACTTAGGCTACTGTTGACCACAGCATGGCAAATCTAGAACCATCAAAGTAGAAGGAATGTTTTACCAGTTCTTTATTAATATAATATCAATCTAGTTTATTCTTTTAGTATGATATCTATATAGGTTTTTGCAACTTTAAAAAGCAGCTAATTTTGGAGTTTTTAATATTTTTTGGTCCCTATCCTCTTTGACCTCCCAAAAGAAATACTAACTTTTCTTCTTTCAGTTTTGTGAAGAATTTAAAGAAAAGTGCCCTATCTGTGTCCCCTGTGGCTTGAGGTTGGCTGAGAAAACACAAATTGCCATCATCAGACATTTTGGTCTTCAAATCCTGGAACATGTTGTCAAGTAAGGAGCTCTTGGTCCTTAAAGTCTGTGAGAAAGCAAGTCTTTCTTATACTATAGAGATGCTTTTTAGACAGTAGAAAAGAGCAATTCCCAGGAAGAAAAGAATGATTGCCACAATATTCTCAGGACCTCCCAGGAGCACTCATTTAGGACTTTTAACCTTTTTCCTCTTGAGTTTCTTCATCTGTGTAAAAGGTGTGGTACATACAAAGCATTCAACAAGCAGTAGTTGATAGCTACTACTCCATTTGTCCACATTTATTGAACTCTTAGTATATGCTAGCAGATCTCAAGGCCTTTGTAGAATAATTCAGTAGGTAGGTAAATAAATCTCTGATTAGACAATGTCTTTTTTTGGTCATTCATTCATTTGTTAATTTATTTACTTTGGCACATGCAAATAGGATTGTATGAGGATAACCGAAAACCTCTCTCCTAACTTGTGTCTTCTACCTTCAACACCTTCAACACCTATCTGAAGAGTTAGCTTTTAAGACTTAGCCAGTTTCTGAAATTGTACTATAAATTTGTAAACCAACATAAGAGAAGTAGTAATATCAAGATTATATTTTCTTTTGTGGGGAGGCAGTTATTGTGAATTGACCCAGGGAAACTTAACCACTGAACCACATCCCCAGCCTTTTTTTTGTACTGTATTTACAGACAGGGTCTTTCTGAATTGCTTAGGGCCTTGCTAAGTTGCTGAGGCTGGTTTTGAACTTGCTGTCCTCCTGCCTCAGCCTCCCAAACCACAGGGATTACAGGCATTCACCACCATGCCAAGCTCAAAATTATATTTTCTGAGAAGCAAATATTTTGTTAGAGTTGCTCTAGATGGATAATTTCTTTTGGCCTATCAATAAAATCATGGGAAAAAGCTAATTTGTGGCACACATCCTGTTAGGATTCTAATTAATGGACCACAGCATGAGTAAAACCTTTTCCCAAGACTTTTTCTATTTTATTTTGGTTAATTGTGGGCTGTTTTTGTCCATTCTCTGAAGGACACAAAATCAAAATAAAATTTGATGAAATCTCCAGCATAATTGAATGCAGGAATCAAAGTTATTCTTTTGTGAAGACTCCTAACAAGGTTCTGTTTATTTTATGCATTTTGGTGGCCAGGTTTCGGTGGAACAGCATGTCTCGATTAGAGAAGGTCTATCTGAAGAACAGTGTCATGGAGCTGATCGCAAATGTAAGGAAGGGATGGGTGGGATAACGTAATTTCTTTCACACAATGTTCATATAAAAATTTACTGGTTCAAATAGTAGAATGTTAACGATTACGTGCAGGCATCACAAAAATGGTAATTCATCACATTTATCTTACTAGATTTAATTAATCACCCTAATTTTGACTTCTTTTTTAAAATTATAAAGACAAAGCAAAGAAGATAAACAAATGGATGAATAATGTTAAATCTAAGAGGTACTGAAACACTCTCTACTTTGTTTCCTTTCATCCAAATTCAACGAAGATGTGATACTAGTGATGAAAAACATGTAGATAGAATTTGTTTCAAAATAGTTGTAGTTAAACCCAATACCTTTATTTTATTTTTTTATTTTTATGTAGTGCTGAGGATCGAACCCAGCACCTCACACATGCTAGGTGAGCGCTCTGCCACTGAGCTACAACCCCAGCCCCATAGCCTTTTATTCTTTTTCTTTTTTTTATTCTTTTTTTTTTTTTTTTTGGTGTGGGGGTTTATGGTACTGGGGATTTGGATCCAGGGGCATTTAAACTGCTGAGCTACATTCCCAGTTGTTTTTTTATATTTTTTGTTTTGAGACAGGGTCTTGCTAACTTGTTGAGGGTCTTAACTAAGTTGCTGAGGCTAGCCTCAAAGTTGTGATCTTCCTGCCTCAGCTTCTTGCATCACTGGAATTATGGGTGTGTAGCATCATGCCCAGCTTTTTCTTTTTTTTAAACAAAGGGTATGAAATAATTCCTACCCCTCCCCTTTTATGACATTAATGGGGAAAAAAATGTCCTTCAAATTTTTGAATTTAGACCGGTGTGGAGGCATACACCTAAAATCCCACTCACTGAAGTAGGCAGTAGGATTGCAAGTTTAAGTCCAACTTCGGCAACTTAGCTAGACCCCATCTCAAAATAAAAAATAAAACTAAAAAGGCTGGCAATATAGCTCAGTGGTAGATCATCCCTGGTTTAATCCCCAGTACTAAAAAACAAAACAAAACATGAATTAATTCAGCTATTTTGTTCATTCTGGGGAGACAGAGTCATAATTCATTAGTTTTGACATCAAACTTCATACCAATAATAATTTTACTATATTTTCTAAAACTAGGATTATGGGAAAAACAGTCAATTGCTCTTCCATCCCCTCCCATTTTTATCAACCACTCAGTATACACATTATTTCTAAACTCTTCCACCCTGACCCTCATTAAAAAATGAAGCAACTTGTGACTTTCCTTAGAACAGTGATGTTTTCTTGGTCCTGTGACAGCCACCTTATTAGCTAATGCAACCCACACTTAAGTTTAAATGGGAAGAATGATGGGTGAAAATGAAGGACAAATGGCTCAGACATGGAGAACAGATTTGTTGGTTCTGTTTAATTTTAAAACAGACCTGTTGATGGGTTTTGTATACTGTCATGGCCCAGTTTTGTTTTGGTTTTGCTTTTGTTTTTTGACTAGAATTCGGTCTTGCAAACCTCTTAGTATCTCTTATCTTTTTTCAGGGAACATTGAACATTTTGGAAGAGGAGAATCACATTAAAGATGTTCTGTCTCGAATTATGGTAGAGATGATCAAACGAGAGTGGCCACAGCACTGGCCTGACATGCTAATGGAGTTGGAGACTCTCTCTAGACTAGGGGTAAGGAGTGCAGCTGTGTCAGCTCTGCATGCTTGGTCTTGGCAATAGCCTTTGGGCATACCTATATTGAATAAGGTGCTTTAGTTTTAACTACCTTATTTCTGTTGGTATAGGAAACACAAACAGAATTAGTGATGTTTATCCTTTTGAGACTGGCAGAGGATGTAGTGACCTTTCAGACACTTCCTCCTCAAAGAAGAAGGGATATCCAGCAAACATTAACCCAGAAAATGGAAAGGATCTTCAGTTTTCTACTTAACACACTTCAGGAAAATGTAAATAAATACCAGCAAATGGTAAGGAATTTTCCACCCTACATTAGTCCTATTTTCCCTTTTATTGATTAAAATTCTCTTTAGGCAAGTTACTAGAGTGTCTAGTTCAGCAAAAGGAAAGGACATTTCATGGGCAAAAAACTGGATAACAGGAGAAAGTAGAACAAATTTTCTCAAAAATCGACTCAGTGGAGTTTCCATATCTACTAGAAAAAGTAGTACCTTTTATATAGTAAGAAAATTCTTAAAGCAGCATAAACATAAAGGTTAATATTTAATATTTGAAAACCCAGATTTCTGATCGGTCAAGATATAGTATCCTGTTAAATTGCAGTGTCCTATTTCATCCTGGTTTCGATTGTCACATTCATTAATCTTTACCACATGATCCTTGGCATTTTGTACTTCCTGAGGAGGCTATTCTGCAGAAAAAGGTAAGCCAGACACTGTCTTTCTGACCATTGTCTTTAGGAGACACCTTTCAGAAGAAGGCAGTTTGAAAGTTAGTACAGTGGTTCTCAAGGTGATTTTGCCTCTTTGTTATCTGAAATATTTCCAGATAAACATTTGGCTGCTATCTGGAAATATTTGGCTTGTCATAATTCAGGGGATTGCTACTGGCATCTAGTGTATAGAGGCCAGGAATGCTGCTAAACACCCCATAATCAGGTTAGTCCCACTGTTACATCGTGTACCTATAGAAATAGTTAACAACAAATCCCACCATTACATATAACTATAATGTACCAATTTTTTAAAAACTGCAAAAAAGAAGTACCCCGATCCAGAATCTCCAAACTATTTATTTCAAAAATCAGGATTAGAAGGTGGACACAATGGTGCATGCCTATAATTCCAGCTTCTCTGGAGCTCATGAGTTCAAAACCAGCCTCAGCAAAAGCGAGGTGCTAAGCAACTCAGTGAGATTCTGTCTCTAAATAAAAATTACAAAATAGGTCTGGGGATGTGGCTCAGTGGCAAGTGCCCCCGATTTCAATTAACCCCCAGTACCTGCCTCCCCCAAAAAGAAAAGAAATCAGAATTAATTAAAATAGGTGTTTTTTTTTTTTAAACGTCCCTGACATATGTATTGAGTCTGTTTTTTCAATAAATTTTAGATACTGATGCAAGTGGTAAGAATAAAGTACTATGAGCTGTTAGTGAATGCATAATACATGCTATACACTTATTTGCACTTTGTATGTTATTTTTCTTCAAACAACCCTAAATTCCAGTTATTGTCTCTGAACATTCAGAGAATAGTTACTGAAGATTCTCTAATAAATAATTGCAGTGAAATTCATAGCTGTTGTTTTGACTTATAATGGAGTCTCCAAAATACTTGCAAGATTTAAAAAAAAAATTTATATTGTTTTTAGTTGTTGTTGGACCTTTATTTAATTATTTTATTTATATGCAGTGCTGAGGATTGAACCCAGTGCCTCAAACATGCTAGGCAAGTGCTCTACCACTGAGCCACCAACCCAGCCCTTAATTTTTTTTTAAATATTTTATTTTTTAGTTGTAGTTGGACACAATACCTTTATTTATTTATTTATTTATTTTTATAAATATTTTTATAAATAAATAAAAGTGCCCAGGACCATGCACATGCTAGGTGAGCACTCTACCGCTGAGCCACAACCCCAGACCCAATTTCTTTCTTTCTTTTTTTAAATAACTGCCGCAGTCTGGCTGGGCACAATCAGGAGCCACTTGTCAAAAGAAACTAACTTTATTTTTAGAACCACACACGCCAAACAAAACAGCCTCTCAGGAAAAACCCTCAGAGCCTCAACTGCCACCACCGGCTTTCCACAAGCCTCTCTCTCCCACACAAGCTTCTCTCCACCTCCCACAATCCTCCTGCTCTTGAGGCCGATTGGCTGGGTCACGTGGGCGGAGCCAAAAAAGTCCCCCAATGAGCAGCTCCGTGGTCTGAAAGGGCAGGGAAACAGCCCAATGAGCATCACCGCAGAGGAGCCAATCAGCTAGATGTTGCTGGGGCCAAGGAGCCAATCAGCTAGATGTTGCTGGGGCCACTGTGAGCCAATCATCAGCCAGCAGCTGGAAGTTTGCTGGCAGCTGGAAGTTTGCTGGGGCCCCTTTGGCTGTGGCTCTCAACATCTCCCCCTCTCTGTTTAAACAACAAGCATGTGGCTTAGGGACCGTGCCTGTTAGGCAGTCCAATTCAACATATGGTCCTTACCCGTCATCAGATGAACTGACCTCTAGGCGTCAGCCTCCTGTCTTAGGTTGGTACCACTGCAATTGGATCATACCCGTCACTGACTACCGGTCCAGCATACAGCCATACTTGTGGATAGGCCTTTGCACCTGTGGGGGGGTGAGGTTCTTTGCCTCACCTCTGTTGGCCCCCAAATTTTAGACCATCACTAGTAGAGGAGGATGCAAAATGCCATGACATTAAGCCAATTGAGGGCTCCTTTGAAAAATTGTACCACCGGTGACATCATCAGCAAAAATACCCCAACACTACCACAAGTCGCTGCACCAACAGATAGTTCACAATGCATACAGGTGAGCTCACAATGTGTCCAGGCAAGTTCTGCAAGCAGTTCAGTGATGGCTATTGTAGAAGCTGTAGATTGGTTTTATCTTTGACTTCACCAGCACTGGGATGAAGATAGGAATTCTGGCAATAATGGCTAAAGAAAAAATTATGTAACATTACAGAAGGCACTAAAAGAAAACAATTTTCTTAACAATTTACATTGTCTTCACCGGCACTGGGATGAAGATAGGAATTCTGGCAATAATGGCTAAAGAAAAAATTATGTAACACTACAGAAGGCACTAAAAGAAAACAATTTTCTTAACAATTTACATTATCTTTAAGAGAATTATTAAATATAATGAAAAGGAAAGGTGAAAGTAAACAAACAGATCTGTTAACCTTCTTTTTTGTTTACATATTAAAACAATCCTCAACAGTTGTTTACCCAATTTAAATTAAACCATATAAATCACGTGAAAAAAAAATGTTTGGATCCATTTTATCATGAGCGCTCATCATATATGATATATGGACATACGTACATTCAAACATATAACACAAAACACAAGTGTGCACACATAATATAATACATACAACACATAACATTATAGTAAAGGCCTTATAACTTTTTACAGGTGAAATCTCCATTGCAATGTTTAAAAACTCTATACTCAAAAAATAGAACTGATCAGCAAAACATTAACCTAGGTCTGTATGAGCTCAAAAAACAAAATAGAACTTCATGATATGGCAAAGGGCAATAATAAAATAGATATTGAAAAAAGCATCCTGGTTCTGTTGCAGATGTAAGAATAGCCAAACTGGAGTTTTGGATATCAGTTGTTATGGATTTGAGCCAAATCATCTTCTTTTTGGTCTGTAGAAATCGCTTTAGTTAATCTTTCTGGAATCCAAATCGGCTGCTGTTCTCCCTGTGGAAACACATAAACAGACCCCCGACTCCAGACAATCACTGGGTCAGGACCTTGGTTAATCTCTCTGGAATCCAAATCGGCTGCTGTTCTCCCTGTGGAAACACACAAACAGACCCCCGACTCCAGACAATTACTGGGTCAGGACCTTTCCATTGTCCTGTTAGAATATCTTTCCAAAGTACCTTGGGCTTATGTACATTTTTTGGACACATATGCCTTTCTGCAGCACTAAGTCCTGATGAATCCAAATTTAAAAAGTTTAGAGTAAAAAGGGTTATTTTAAGTTTATCTTTGGGGAATATATACCCCTTCCCAATTCCTTCTTTTTGCTTTAATAAGTACATTTTAATAGTTTGATGAGCTCTTTCAACTATGCCTTGTCCCTGTGGATTGTATGGGATTCCTGTTATATGAGTAATGCCAAATGTTGAGCAAAATTGTTTAAAAGAGGTAGAAGTATAACCAGGGGCATTATCTGTTTTTAACTGTTTTGGAACACCCACAGTGGCAAAATTTTGTAAGCAATGAGCTATAACATCTTTAGTTTTTTCTCCGGCATGAAGGGAGCCCATCAAAAATCCAGAAGAAGTATCAACTGTAACATGCAGATATTTTAATTTTCCAAATTCTGGCAAGTGTGTGACGTCCATCTGCCAAATATGGTTAGGTATCAATCCTCTAGGATTGACTCCAAGATTAACTTGTGGTAAAAAGGTCACACAATTTTGACATTGTTTTATTATTTGTCTAGCTTGTTCCTTAGTTATTTTAAAACGCTTTTGTAAAGTATTAGCATTGACATGGAACTTTTTATGAAAATTTATAGCTTCTTCTAGTGTAGAGAAAATATGTATGTCATGTGTAGTTTTATCTGCTAAATCATTGCCCAAACTAAGGGCTCCAGGCAATCCTGTATGTGCCCTGATATGTCCTATAAAGAATGGATCTTTTCTGTCCCAGATTAGACTTTGTATAGTGGAAAGCAAAGAGAAAACAGTAGAAGAAGGGGAAATCCTACCAGCATCTTCAAGAGATACTATAGCATTAACTACATACTGAGTATCAGAAAATAAATTAAATACAGAATCTTTAAACATCACAAAAGCTTGTAATACTGCATTAAGCTCTACCTTTTGAGCTGATTGTTTGGGTACTAAAAATGTAAAAGTTTGATCAGGGGTAACTACTGCTGCTGTACCATTATTTGACCCATCAGTGAATATATTTGGAGCATTCATGATAGGTGTTTTTCTTGTCATTTTTGGAAAAATTACAGGATGCAATGACCAAAAAGACAATAAAGGATTAGATGGTAAGTGGTTATCAAATGAAACATTAGATTTGCACATGATTATTGCCCAAGTATTTAACTCATTAGCTAACTCATCGATTTGATTCATAGTATATGGAGTAATCATTTTATTGGGATAAATTCCAAACACTCCCTTTGCTGCTTTTATTCCTTTGAGTATTAATTGTCCTACAGCCTCAGGATACCTAGTAAGAATAGTGTTAGGAGAATAAGATAAATGTATCCATAATAATGGACCTTCTTGCCAAAATACTCC